AGTTTGTGGACACAGTTGGCCTTCAGGCTCTAATTAAGAATGGTTAAGATCCTGAGAATCATTGCCCTTTACCCTCTCTCCAAGGCTGTTTCAGGGGAAGGTTAAATTTAGACCATTGGCAGAATAGCAAGTAATGGAACGTTCAGAGAGCACCCTCCCTGAGGTCAAACAACTCTCTTGTATGGATTATATCCTCCATCTATGTATGCCTTCCTGGGAAGAAAGAGGAGAGAGGAAATAGACTATTTTTCCTATTTCAAGTCATCACATATTTGTGAGTGCTTATTATTTAGCAAGCTTCCATTGTGTCTGTGCTGACCGATCTTAGCTAAGTGTCTGTTGCTGTGGAGTTAGCTTTCTGTATTGTATTAAAAGTGTATTTTGTTTTGGTTGCTCCTGACCACCACCCTACCCCTTCTAGTCAGTACAATAAGTTTATAAGTAGACGGCGTAAAGGGGCAATAGCAGGAAATAAGATTGCAAAGAGGAAGTCATGTATAAACTGTCCTAAAGATCAAAGGAGCATAATTTACAAATTGTATTGTATGTACATATACACACACATATATATGTGTGTGTGTGTGTGTGTGTGTGTGTATATCTACATCTATCTATCTATCTATCTATCTATCTATCTATCTATGAGGCAATCAGGGTCAAGTGACTTGCACAGGGTCACACAGCTAGTAAGTGACAAGATAATTGTATTTACTTTTTCTCATGCCAAACCTGTGCCTACCTTCTCTTGTATATGCCTTGAAGTGCCTAATATAATGTTGGACACATAAGTAAGTCCCTGAACAAATCTGAGGCCAGATTTGAACTCAGGTCCTTTTGACTCCAGGGCCAGTACTCTATCCACTATGCCACTAGCTGCCCTCATTCCTGGAAAACATGTGGTTTTTCCATGAGTTTCATTTTCAAAAGGCAAGACTTGAAGTTGAGAAGATCTGAGTTTAAATCCTAGAAGAATACAAAAGAAGTAGAAAATGTGGCCCCAGACTTCAACAAGCTTATAACATTGGAAAGATGGCATTTTTACATGAAACATCTAGAGAACAGTAAAAAGTAATAGTTAATTACAGTTAGGTGGCCCAGCAGATAAGAGTGCTGTGTTTGGAGTCAAGAAGACTTGAGTTTAAATCCAGCTTCAGACACTTTAGTTTTGTGACCCTGGGCAAGTCATTGAACCTCTGTTTACCTTAGTTTCCTCATCTGTAAAATGGGGATGATCATATTAGCACCTACTTCATAGGGTTATTGTGAGGATCAAGTGAGATAATATTTGCAAGGCACTTATAGTAGGCACTATATAAATGTTAACTATTATTATTATGATTAATGCAGTACATTCCCGTATCTGGAATGTCCTTCCCCTTTTAGTATGCTGGGCTTTCTTCAAGGTCCTGCTCAGGTATTACCTCCTATAGGAAACCTTTCCTGATCCTCTTAGCTTCTTCCCCTTCTCAAATTCTTATTTAACTAGACAAATGTTTCCCTGTCCCCCCCAATTCAATGTAAACTCCTCAAGGGGAGGGTTGTGTCTTTATCCTTAGCACTTTTGTGCTAAGGCACAAAATCTTGAAATTATGTGATGCTTAATTGTTGAATGAATGGATCAATGTGGTACAAGCTAGAATTTTATAGGGACCCATAGGAAGAAAAGATAATCACAAGGTAGGGCAGAATCCTGGAGTTTCAGAATTGGAAGATACCTTAAAGACCTAATCCAATCTCCTCATTTAGGAAAGTAAGGCCTATAGAGGTTAAGTGACTTACTTAAGTTCACACAACTAAGTTGTTGTTCACCCTTCATTTTTGAAGAGAACTAAAGGCATCATGGGTGATGTCTTGATTTCCCAGTGAATTGGATTAAAGTGAGGCAGAGTTGCACAAAGTTGTCAGCCTCACTCTCTCTTCCAAAGTCATTGAAGTCCAGTAGGAAGACAAAAGTCAGGATGACTGGCAATGGCCCAGGATGCAGTGGATGACCTTGGCGTCTTCAATATCTGACCAAGCTCTAAGCTAAGGAATGACAATGACTAGATTAAAAAAGACCTAAGTCTCTTGATTTCTGAACAGATGCTTTTCTGTTATAATGTGTGACAGTCAGGAAAGTCTTCTTGGAAAAGGGGAGTGGGGGGCCGGGGGTAGGGGTGGTTGGACCTTAAAGGAAGTATTATCAGGCTTTATTTTGTTTTCATAAAACATAGAGGCATAATATGCACTATCGATACAGAGCTGACCCTGAAGACTGAGTTCAAATCTTGCCCCAAGGCATTCTGGCTGTGTGACCCTGGTCAAGTCACTTAACCCATTTGCCTCAGTTTCCTAATCTGTAAAATGGGAATAAGAATAGCACCTACCTCCCAGGATTGTTGTGAAGATAAACTGAGATAATATTTGTAAAGCACTTAACACAGTGCCTGGCACATAGTGATATATAATTTTTTTGGTTGATAAGTCGTGTCTGACTCTTCATTACCCCATTTGGGGTTTTCTTAGCAAAGATATTGGAGTAGTTTGCATTTCCTTCTCCAGTTCATTTTACAGATGAGGAAACTGAGGCAAACAGGGTTAAGCGACTTGCCCAAGGTCACATAGCTAGTAAGTATCTGATGTCACATTTGAACTCAGGTTCTTTTGACTCCAGGGCCAGCGCTTGATCCACTGTGTCACCTAGCTGCCCCATAGAAATGTTAGCTATCGTTATTATTTTGTTGCTGTTGTTATTTCCTCACTGGAGAGTTCCCTATACTAATGACATTACAGGTCCAGTACCTGTCCTTTGCTTTCATGGTAGGTTAAAGCATTCATTCCAAGCCACGGCGAAGGCAATAGTGGGAGTAAGACCAAGCCTTATCAACATCCAGTCCTCTGCTGACCTCTACTGTACAGAAGCTAACATAGACTGAAGGGTGAAATTAAGCAAAGTAAAATCCAAAGGGCGTCATCAACATCACTGATGGCTAAAGAGCTGTTGGGCTCTGGAAATAGGAGTCCATATAGGAGCCAGGAAGGAGTTGGAGATGGAAGAAAGAAAAGATAATTTCCTCCTTCCTTAGGACACAGGGCTTGACAAAGTAACGACTACACAGAGACACAAAAGAAGCTGGCGAATGAAATTCTGCAACAGATGAAGTTTGTCTTTTGTACTCTCCTATCTCCCAAGGATCCCTCTCGTCACATAGCCTATACGGCTTCTTGCTGCCCCGAGCCCCTCATAGGTGGGTCTATATCTCTCCTCAGTGCTGCCCAATTTCAGCCAACTTGTTGGTTAGCTGGCCTTTCCTTAGTCTGGGAATTGTAAGTTAAAGACAACGACTCTCATGAGATACCTGGGGATGGTATTTAATTTTTCACCTGTATCAATCATAACCTCCTCATGTGTAAGTTCTTTTGGCTTCACCATCATAGTTCCTAGAACAACATCGGGAACATGTAAGTTAATCGTTGTTGTTCCATTGTTTTTCAGTCGTCACAACTCTTCTGGACCCCATTTGGGGTTTTCATGGCAAAGATATTGGAGTGGTTTTGTCATTTCCTTCTCCATCTCATTTTTACAGATTAGGAAACTGAGGCAAACGGGGGTAAGCAATTTGCTCGGGGTCACACAGCTAAGAAGTGTCTGAGGTCAAATTTGAACTCCATTCCTCCTGATGCCAGGGCTGGCATTCTATCCACTTGTGCCACCTCGTTGTCAAAAGGTCCTTAATAACTACTTGTTGAATGAATAAGACCGATTTTGGCACAAGTTTCTGAATCCACTGCAGAATCAAGCAATTCCTTCGTCTTCTATTTACTGTGTTTTCCAAGGTTTTCTCTTAGCTAGCTAGAAGGAATCTCAGAGGCCATCTAGTCTAACCCTCTCATTTTACAGATGAAGAAACTGAGACCCAGGAAGGGTAAATGACTTACCTAAAGTCTCACAGGCTACTAGGAAGCTGTTAGAACGGAAGCACTTAACTCTTTTATCTGGACCCCTTTGAAGCCTACGGACTCCTCAGAATAATGTTTTTAAATGCATAAAATAGATGGAATAATAAAAGAAACCAATTATGTTACAATATAGTTATAAAAATATTTTTTCTAAGTTCACAGACCCCAGATTAAGAGCTCATAGTAGAGACAGGATTTGAACCCAGCTCTTCCAACTCCATAATCAGTCCTGTTTCCCTTTCAGTCTGTCCTATTTCCATACCACACTGTCTTCCTACCCTAGTATCTAGGGGTGGGGGGTGGGAGGGGAAAGGATACTTCCTCCTGAAGCTAGTGATTCAATTATTGTTCATAGAACTACCTTCCTTGCTACGTACAACCAAGAGTTTCTTTTTTAAGGCTATGAGAAAAGCACTGACATGGTAACCACTGTACATGACCCATATACTTATGTGCAGTAGTGTGCTATTGATGTTTAATAACTGGCTTTCCAGGACACATTTTTAATGTGCATTATTAACATTTTCTCCATCACTTTAAGTTCTAGGCAATTAACAAAACAACAAATCTAGCCCTGATTTGTAGCATTTGCTGATTTCTGAGGTGTAAATACTCACAATAAATATTTATCAGCTTCAAGCAGCCTGTTGGAGCTGGCTCCAGCACAGCACACCACACCATAGCCTCTATGGGTGTATCTTGTCTCCCCTTGGACTATAAATTCCTACAGGGCAGGGACTTTTTTCATTTTTGTCTTCTTTGTATTCCCCAGTACCTCTCACATAGCAGGTGTCTAATTAATAAATACTAGTTAATTGATTGATAGTGAGTTGACCTGATATCAAGGAAAAAAAGAAATTCCCACTTTGTTCATTGTCGCCAGTCCTTGACGTCTCAAAACTCCATGAGACAGGAAAATAAAATGAGAGAGGAAAATAAAATGGAGAACCAAGTCCCGGGGGAGGTTAGGAGTAGGGAGAACAGAGCCTCTTTCTGACACCAGCAAGCAAAAGCAGGAAAGGTCTCAATTTCCAAGGCATTTCCTTCGGCCATACAAGTACCTTTTAATTAGGTTCATCTCTGCCTGTTCCCTCTTGGTGAATAGCAAAGTTCGGCTGTTTTCAAAGATTTCCTCGATCTGATCAGGCCAGAGGAACAAGGTACTGTTCAACTTTATATCCTCAGCTGCAAAACACAGATACAAAGACATATATATATATATACACTCCAAGAATTTAAGTCCCACGAAGTCAGAAACTGAATACACACACACACCCCCCCCCACATACACAGTGCCCAAAAGTCTTGGTACAATTTTAAACTTTAATAGCTCTGTGTGTGTGTGTGTGTGTGTGTGTGTGTGTGAACTTATAGTCTTACAAATTGAGTAAAGGTGTCAAACTCAGAGTGGGAGGACTGCAAGTTGACAGCAAAACTCCTAAGTGTGGTCCAACCCACATTAAAACATGCTTGGGAAATATTTAATAGAATAAAAATACAATTTTATTGTTGAGTCGTTTTTTCAGTCATGTCCAACTCTTCGTGACCCCATTTGTGTTTTTCTTGCAAAGATACTGGATTGATTTGCCATTTCTTCCTCCAGCTCATTTTAAAGACAAAGAAACTGAGGCAAACAGGGTTAAGTGACTTGGCCGGGGTCACACAGCTAGTAAGTGTCTAAGGCCACATTTGAACTTAGGAAGATGAGTCTTCCTGACTCCAGGCCAGACCCTCTAACCTCTGCACCACCTAGCTGCCCTAAAAACACAATACAACATAGATGACGTTGATTTGTGGTTTTCTAAGTCAATATGCCTCTCCACAGGGATACATTTCTATTTGCGCACACTGAGAGGCTGTGACTTGTCCAAGGTCACACAGCCACTATGTCAGAGGTGAGACTTGAAGCCAAATTTTCGTGACTCCAAGGCTAAGTTCTTCATCTGCTGTACCATCCTGCCCCTCAATAGAACTATAGCTAATAAATGCAATAGAATAAGAAGTCATTGCAAGGAACTAATGAGGCAATCAGGTGGGTTAGCATTTCAGAACAAACTCCAAAGGGTGTATCCACTGTTCTCATTTTGACAAAGATCATCACATCAAGCTCCTGGGCTATATTCTATTTAACAGGTGAGAAAAGTAGAACATAGAATCATTGAATTAAGAGTGGCAGGGACTTCAGATGTTATCTAACCCTCATTTTATAGGTGAGGAAAATGAGGCCCAGTGTTGAAGTGACTTGTCCGAGGACCCTGGTCCTCTAACCCCAAATGCAGGCCTCTTTTCTTAGTGATACCTTAGAACAGAAGCATCGCATAGCCAGCACAAGGAACCAGCAAAACTCCTGAACCAGATAAAAATGTAACTGGTAAATATTTAACAAAATAAATAAAGATACCATACAATATAGATAATGTTAATTTGTTGTTTTCTAAGTCAATATGACGCCCACAGGGACCCATTTCTATTTGAGTTCAATACCACCACTTTTGCAGTTGCATAATTTCATAGACAAGAAATATTCTTGAGGACCTTGTTTCTCAAACAGTAAGCCACCATGTGTGCACACATTACAAAGATATAAGGATGTGAGTTACAATGTCCTGGGTTTCCTCACTGCTGGTTCCAATTTTGGACTAAGTGGAAGAAGTAGAAATGATGATGAGGGGGAGAGATTAGGGAGGATGGCTGATGTGTGTTCATTTATATGCGAAACCCTGGACATGCCCTTTCCCATAGGCATTGCCATGAAATCTGGAGGCATAGGCAGAAATGCTTGTCCCGAGGTAGACAGACATTACCTAGAATTATTAAATGCTTGTTGACTGAATGACAAAATGATCTCTATAGTCCTTTCTGGGGCAGGTAGGTGATACAATGGATAGAGTTCTGGCCCTGATGTCAGGACGACCTGAGTTCAAATCCGGCCTCAGACCAAACACTTGACACTTACTAGCTGTGTGACCCTGGGCAAGTCACTTAACCCCAACTGCCTAAGCAAAAAAATAATAATAATAATAAGAATGACCCATTCCATGGCATAAAGAACACCTGCTCTGGAAGTGACTTTAATTCTCCCTCTACTTCCCACACCCACTCTGGTCCCAGTGGTGTAGCCAGGGAAAGAAAAGAAAAGAAAAATATTCATTTGAATCTTCAGTTTTCTTCCCTTTTGGTTTAATAGCTAAGAGTTATAGAACATTAGGCCTAGGATGATGGTGATGGTGTTGATGATGATATTTGGTGATAGCAATAATGATCATGAAAGGCCATGTGGTATAGTGAATAAAGAGCTGGCCCTGGCATCAGGAAGATATAAGTTCAAGTCTTATCTCTGACATATACACACACATGTGCATACATGTCAGAAACAGAACACAGTAAACATAAGTATATATGTATATGTACACACAAGGCACACAGACATGCAAATATGCACATGTGTATACATGTGTACACATACATATATATACACATAGATTATAGAGAAAGATGTGTATATAGATAGGTATGTGTGTATATATATATATATACACACACATATATATGTATGTATTCAAGTATACATATATTCAAGTATATATATGTACTTGAAGCACAAAAATTAAGGGACTTACCTAGTTTCTTAGCCTTCCAGTATTTCAGGTAATAATAATAATAATAATGATAGCTAACAGTTATATAGCACTATGTACTATAAATTTACATTATTATCTCATTTGATTCCTCACAACAACCCTGGGAAGTAGGTGCTATTATTATCCCCATATTATAGATGAGGAAAAGGCAAACAGCAAAAAAATGATTTGCCAAAGGTCACAGAGCTAGTAAGTGTCTGAAGCTGGATTTGAAATTGGCATTTCCCGATTCCAGAGCCCTCTATCCACTACACCACCTACCTGATAATTCTGTTCTGCACTGGTAGAAGAAGTTGCCTCATAGGGGTCTTTAAACCAGTGAAATCACAGGTCTGGACCAAAATGACAGTAATAGTAAAACAACAAAAACAATAACAACTAGCATTTTTATGGGGCTTTAAGATTTGCAAAGCATTCTACCCATTTGATTTTGTTTAATTTTCTGTGAGGTATTTACTACTAGTAAGCCCATTTTATAGATAAGGAAACTGAAGCTGAAAGTTTAAAAACCTTGTCTGGGATCACACAGTCAATAAGCATGTGAATCAGGTTTTAAACCCAAGTCTTCCTGATTCCACGTCCCATCCTCTAATGCAGAGTCAGCAAACTATTGCCAAAAGGCCAAATCTGGGCAGCTGCTTGTTTTTGTATGGCCTGACAGCCAGGACTGCTTGTTTTTTTGTTTTTTGTTTACATTTTTAAATACAGTAAACTTTATTTAAAAATATAAAAAACATCCTAGTTTGCTGTATAAAAATAGATATTGGGCAGGATTTGACCAGCCCTATAGCACTGGTTAGTGTGGTATAGGGACCCTGGTGGTCCCCAGACCCTTTCTGGGGATTACTGAGAGGTCAAAACTATTTTCATAAAAACATTAAGACATTATTTGCCTAATAAAATACTCTCTCCTTTTCCAACTACATATCTGTTTGAGGCTGGATTCTCTTCATAGATTTCAACCAAAACACCATATTGTAACAGAATGAGTGCAGAAGCAGATTGAGAATCCAGCTGTCTTCTATTATGCCTATTAAAGAGATTTGCAAAAATATGTAAAACAATGCCACTCTTCTCACTAATTTTTTTTGTTCAGGAAAATAATTATTTTTTATAAAATATTTAAGGTAATCCAAAATGGATTTATTATTTTTCAATGAATTAATAAATTAAAATTTAAAAAGTAATTCATTTCAATGTCTAACATGGTAAACATCAATAGATATAACCCACATAAAAAACTCTTTGGGGTACAATAATTTTTAAGAATGTCAAGAGGTCCTCCAAACCAAAAAGGTTGAGAACTGTCACTCTGGATTCCTTCAAATCCCACCAAAAATTCCACCTTTTTTCAGAAACCTTTCCTGTTCCTACTTAATGCTAGTGCCTTCCATCTGGTGATTATCTCCAATTTATCCTGTATGTATCTTGTTTGTACATAGCTGTTTGCATGTCGTCTCTTCCATTAGACTGGGAACTCCTTGAATTCGAGGACTATTTTTTTGTTTTTTTGTTGTTTTTTTTTTAAAGCTTTCTTTGAATTCCCATTGATTAGCACAGTGCCTGGCACATACCAGGTGCTTAATTGATGTTTCTTAACTGCTGCTAGGTGGTTAGAGTACTGGGCCTGGAGTCGGGAAGACATCTTCCTGAGTTCAAATACAGCTTCAGGCACTTCCTAGCTATGTGACCCTGGGCAAGTCACTGTTTGCCTCAATTTCTTCATCTGTAAAATGAGCTGGAGAAAGAAATGGTAAAACATTCCAGTATCTTTGCCAAGAAAGCCCCAGATGGGGACACAGAGAGTCAAACATGACTGAAAATGACTGAACAACAAATCTATTGCAAGATAAAGGAACTGAGAACCAGAGCAGTGAATCACCTAACCTGTTATGTGGTGATGACTATCATATCATGATATCATATCACACATGACTATCATTGGCTGCACAGTCTCCATTTTCTACTGTTCGCTGGGACTTCCCTTTGATTTCAGTGGGGCTCAGTTCTGTTTGGGTGGTATGGATTGAGTTAGACTCCCCAGTATAGGTTTGACAAAAGGCATCTCTGCTATGATTCAGCCATGGGCTCTCTAACCCTTTTAAAAAAATATGTTAGGTATTGATTGGACCTACTGGGAAGATCAGCATAGTTCATTAGGAACTCCAGCCTCCAAGCAGCATCGGAGATCTGCCTCCTGAGATTGAACACAGTGACGTCACTGGCCTTCTTTAAGAATGCCGTGAGAAACACCAGGTCCTCGGTGTTGGCAGGGATCTCGCTGACTTTGTCTGCTATCATGCTGTACTGGTTGCAGAGGCTAGAAAGGAGAAAGCAGAGAGCAGGGTCACTAGCAGCAGCTACTAAAAATATGATTGAAGATCTATTTATTCTGCTGGGGAATAAATACACTGTTCTGTCTCCATTCTTTAGAGGATTTATTTATTTTCCCCCCAGAGGTGATTTCTTTGAGTTAGGGCACTCATGATAAAAGATTCTCTCCACCAAATCATATCAATACCTCTTCTACAGCAAATACAGTTAAAGAGCTGCCTGAAGCACTGAGGTGGGGAGGGAAATGAAGGAGCTTTTATTAAGTACCTCTTGTATGCCAGGCTCTGTGCTAAGCACTTTGCAAATATCAGCTCAGCTGATCGCTAGGAAACCAAGTGACTCGTCCAAGCTGACAGATCCAGGATATGTCAAAGGCTCTTTACCCACTTCATCGCATTGCCTAACCTCTTAGAGGTTTATAGTCTGAATGTTTGTTACTGAAAGGAAGCTTATCATAAACGTAATTGATTGAGCCAAACAGAAATCATCAAGCGTTTTCTGCACTGATAGTGTGCCTACTTGGGGTCTCTGATACTATGAAATTGTTTCACTTAACTGCTTTGCATTTAAACCCTCGGAACAATGCATCCCGTCGGATTCCATATTTCCCTCTTCCCCACCCTTGTTTCCTCTGTAGAGTAGACTGTGAGCCCAACTTCCATAACGCCTCACTTTATGCAAACAGCAGCCATCAGGACTATCTTTACAACCAAGCCAGTAAGAAAAGGAAAATTCCAGAGTCCAATCCTTTCCAAGTAATCGAGGTCAATGACTAACATCATGGACATTAGACATTGAATGGAGATACAAAAACAACAACAACAACTCACACACACACACACACACACACACACACACACACACATACACACACACACACACACAATCTTAGCTTCCTACCTCAGAGGCATTTACAATCCTAATAGGGAACAAGAAGATGGCATTAGAACACTTCTGGAGAAGACATCAAAAACAGCCCAAACTAATAAAGTAAAGACCAGTCCTGTAAGAGTTTTGGCAGGGTTATATAAGGTGAGAATCTGAGCCTGTTCTCTGAGCCTAAATGAAGTGAATCACAAATACACAATGGCTTGTTAAATTTGGATTATTCTCCACTAAAAATAAATATGCCAGACAGATTGTATGACATCACTCTCCTGGTTAGTTCTTCAATCCTACTAGGTGTCACCCTGCACAGGAGAAAACATATGTGAGAACCCAGTTTCCTAAATGCTATGCATCACTAAATGATTTGAAAAGTCTTTATCCAGGGAAAGTTCAACCCAAAACACAACTTGGGCTTCCTTTGAAAACATTGCTAGGGGAAACTAGAAGGCACAATGGATAGAATGCCAACCTTGGGGTCATGAGGACTTGAGTTCAAATTTGACCTCAGACACTTACTAGCTGTGTGGCCGTGGACAAGTAGCTTAAGCCTGATTGCCTTAAAAAAAAAATACAGACCAACACCAAAGTGGGTAATTTGGGTAAAGGAAAGGACTATAGAATTAGAATGGACCCTAAAGGCCACTGAATTGAGTTCCCTCATTTTATAGATGAAGACACTGAGTCACAGAGAAGTTAAATGACTTGCCCAGAGTCATATAGGTAGCCAGTATCTGAGGAAGGATTTGAACTCAGGTCTTTCTGACGCCAAGTCCAGCACTTTATTCATTCTACCATCTAGCTGACATGGAATTCTTTCCATTTTTCCTTCTCCCTTTCCCTATTCAAAATAGAAAATCTCGTTACATTCTTCCCTTACGTGTAAGCTTTAACCTGGAACTTTGAGTTTCCTTGATATCTTGACATGGAGGCAGAAGCCATAAGAACTCTAAGTCCAAAATGAGTAATAATAACTAATATTTATATGGCGTTTACTGTGTGCCAGGCACTGTATAATTATCTCATTTTGATCCTCACAAAAACTCTGGGAGGCAGGTGCTATTGTTATCCTTATTTTACAGATGAGGAAACTGAGGACAAATAAAGGTGAAGTGACTTGTCCAAAGTCACAAAACTAATGTGTTTGAGGTTGGATTTGAACTCAGGTCATCAGGACTATAAGCCTAGCACTTTAGCCACTGAGCCACCTAGATGCCCTGGTCACATCATTCCCCCTGCCCCTCACTCCTAATTGATCCATCTGTACAAATCTTCACAATAATTTTTCTACAAAGAATAAAAACGGTACTTGGTATTCTGCTCTCGATTTTCATCAACTTGGAATTGAATCAGCTGTTGTTTAAGCGCTTTGGTCCGATCACAGAGATTCTCATTTAGTGCCAAAGCATCAAGGCAAAACAGGGCCAAAGGTACTGTGATGTGCATGGATGCAATTTCTCCTTTCAATTTCTTCATCCTGTCAATGTACTGTGGGGAAGAGGAAGCATTCCATGGCTTAGCGGGTCCTCTGGGAATAACAAGCCAAGTGCTGATCATTTGGTAGGTACTACAAAATATTTATTGCTGGGTCCACTGGGGTTGGTGTTATTAAAATGCAAGGTAAAGTAAGGTCTTACCTCCACGAAATCATCAAGGTCATGGACTTTTGAGAGAAAAGATGTGACATCTTGTTTTGCAGTGCCGTCCAACAGATTGCTGTATTTTTGGTATACATCTAAATATCTTCCAGGTTGAAGAACAAAGGAACAGACACACAATCAACATGCACACACCTCAAGGTCAGCAGTGATTTAATCCCAACCAAGACTACCCACCCTCAAAAAAAAAAGAGAAAGAAACCAACAAAAATTAGCAAAAATAAATTCTTTGATAAGTAGAATGCATCCAAACTAGGTTATAGGATTCAAGATCAAGCCAACTTACTTTCTGGGGCCTACTTGGTTTTTTTCAAAAACCTCTTCTGTTTGCTTCACAAAGTCAGAAACTAACATTTCATCTGAGCAGACAGTCCCAAGAGTCAGATTATCTCCTTGGAGCTCTGGGAAAAGGTTTACTTCTACCTAAAGAGCATAAATGGGACTGTGTTTTCACAGAGAAAGGGAAGTAATCCTCACTTCGAAATGTTATCTCCTATAATGCACTGACCCTCTAGGAATGATTTCTGCATTTTTTTAAAAATCATTTTAGAAGTGGCCAGACCACCAACCTTCCTTGAAAGAAATCTTCCCTAAACAAAATTAGGTCAAACCCAGTAGCTGACTGTGGACAAAGGGGAAGGAAAGAAGGGAACAAACATTTATTATAATAGTGCCTACTATGCGCACATTACAAATATTATCTTATTTGATCCTCACAATAACCTTGGGAGGTAATAATAATAATAACTAACATTTATATAGCACTTACTATGTGCCAGGCACTGTGCTAAGCAGTTTACAAATATTACCTCTTTTAATCCTCACAACAACCTTGGGAGGTAGGTAGTATTATTATCTCCATTCTAGATTTGAGGAAACTGAGGCAGGCAGAGGTTAATTGACTTGCCTAGGGTCACAAGGCTAGGAAGTGTCTGAGGGTACATGTGGGAGGCAACAGTCTAACATCCTAGAAACTGGAAGATATGTTCTAGGAAAATGTTTGCAAGATAAAAGAGTGGCATTACTTCATATGGGCACCATGTTAGAACTTAATTATGCAGATTTTATCAGGCTATCCTTTATTTTAGGAGACATTGTTTGACCTGGGGAGAATCTGAACTTTGAAATAAGGCCACTACATTTTGTGGTATAATGGAAAGACATTATTAAACCTTTTTGATTCAGTGGGAAAATAACATTCCTATATGGTGATCTAAGAATCAAACAGCAAAATTGTGAATGATAGATAACTGACCTGAGTTGCTTATGTGGAAGGAATGGCTTACCTTGCACAACGTTAATCCAATAAACATTCACTCAATAGACATTTATTAAAGGCCTACTTTGCAGGTTAGACAAGGATAAATAAAATGAAGTCCCTACCCTATAAGAAAAATTTATAATCTACTATTGAAGATAAGATAGGTATAAAATAATCACTATAAATTAGAATGTGATAAAATGCATGGGAGAAATCCAAACAAGGTGCTATGAGAGATGCAAGCAAGAAGAGATTACTTCGAACTTTGCTTTGAGTGAGGATAAACCAGTCAGACTCTCTGGGAGAGTTAATACTTGAGCTTCTAGTTTGCCCAGGGGAAAAAAAAAAACAAAAAGTATGTGAAAGAAGTAGTATGGGCTAAGGCTGGAGAGGTAGCTTGCAGGCAAATCATAGAAGGCCTTGAATGTCAGGTTGAGGAGTTTGTATTTTATTGGGAAATAGCGATGTCCCCAAGAAGTGAAATAACAGGAAAAGAGAGAAGAGAAAAAGGTAAGAAATTTCTAGAAGTTGTATTTCTACTCAAGATTTTCCCCACAGACAACAGCTGGAGGAAGTTTCTATTTGCATTTCTGCAATAGTTTCTGGACTTTTTAAGGACTCTTCCTTTTAAAGGACTCCTTTGGCAGAGCCCCACTTCTCCAATACGACTGTAGTTATGATATTAGTAAATATCTATAATGACAAAAAGCAACCAATATTTTAAATGAATTTATATATTAGTTACAACAGTAAAAGAAAGGTCATATTTTATCCCAGAAAGGCAAGAAAATAAATTCTTATTAAAAGGAACAAATGAAACATCATGGACACAAAATCCATTATTCCCATCAAATATTTTATTGTGGCTCAATGAACTTAGAGGATGATCAGAAGAGCCTGGTCTTGATTAGATTGTAGGAAGGTATCCATTACTTGGGACTTTTTTTGCATCTCCCTTGTTGGGACAGATATGACCATTGTTGTTAGGCTTAAGGGCATATCCTAGGCTTTGAAACTTGTTATACATTTATATCTCATTAAGACTCTGGTCCTGGCCAGCCTCTTAGAGAAAATAGAATGAACTTATTGCTCTACAGTTGGAGAAAGCTAAAAACTGAGCTATAATTTGAAGGAGCGAAAATCTGGACTTTCTCCTCTGCTACTTCTGTAAGTTATTTGGGAAATGGAGTTGACTGCATAGTAACTCCAAGTTTATTTTCCTCCTGGGAAAATAATGCCAGGGAACTACTATTTTTTAATAGTAGTACTATAAGGCTGGAGACTTTCCCTCTTGACTTTCCAGACTTTTCCACCTCCTGTCTAGCAGCTCTCTCCAGATGCTTCCACTCCTGTGGTCCTCCCCTCTAAGTAGTAAGTACCTGGCCAGGTCCACCACTTCCAGAGGTGGCCAGGCCAACCCATGTTCACTTCTCTCCCAGATCTACTTCTAACTCTGGACTTTTTCCATGTCCTTGCCTCTATAAGGAGACCCTTCCCCTCCCCAGCTTCTAGTTCCCTTTTATGTATTGTCTTCCTCCTTTAGAATGCAAGCTCCTTGAGGGTAGGGACTGTCTTTTTTGTTTGTTGTATTCCTGGAGCTTAGCACAGTCCCTAGTATACACTAAGTGTTTAATAAATGCTTAATATAATATAATCTACCTGTCTATCTGTCTAGGTCCCTGAGGTAGAAGATGGGACTTCTGAGAAAGAGGAAGGGAATTTTATGGACTTTTTATGGACTAATATGAGTTCTTTGGGATATTTTGCATTTCTAGTACAGTAAAATAAAAGCTATCTTGAATCTGATGTACATTGTTATCTTTAGTGCCTACACAGGACCTGGGGGCCTTTTACTTATATAAGGGAAATATGAACATGAGCCATATTCTAAGTTTCCCAGAGGAAATTCTTGGTGGGGGCAAAATAAGACAAAGAAATATTATTTGAAAGGCAACTCTCTAAGATTGAACCTGGTCCATGAAAGCCTAGAGACTGGGTTCTAGGATACAGATTACATAAAGATGAAAATGGCAATGCTTGGCAAATTCACAGACCCCTTAAAATAACTCCAAAGCCAATCCAGGAATCTGTGGGTTGGAGTCACATCCATGATTTGGCAGAAATCTGTTAATTATAAAACAACTCTCGCTGAACAAACTATCACCATATTGAAAGAATAGGCTGAGAAAACTCCAAAAAATTACTGGAAGCCTCCTAAAGGATAAATCCTCATTCAGTTGACACTAAGGGTCAAACAGCTTGTTTTCAATGACAGGTCACCACTTTGGTTTCCACCAATAAGAATGCCAAAACTCAGAATATTGCTTCTAAGCAAGTATGAAGAGAAAAGGGAATTTTGCAATAACATGCAATGAGTACATTATGTTTGTGTTTATTCCAGTGCCTGATAACTTCTGTGAATGAACAAAATACAAGTTGTCCTCCCTAATTAGAGAAGGATTTGGTAAAATGTGTGGAGGAGTATCTCCCTACTCTCCACGTGTGGGGTCCCAATTAGAGAAAAGCCATAAAATACAATAATAAGTGAAAAGCCATAAAACTTAAACTCTGTGAAAGGTGGAAGCCTGGACATGGTGACCTGTTAAAAATCATAACTTAAATACTGAATCATAACTTAGACACTGAGTTATAACTTAAGATACCAAGCCATATGAAAGCCATAACAAGAATATCATGACCCATATGTGACATCATCAGTACACAAACATATTTGGGCATAATATTGGCTTAACTCCCAAGCTCATTACTAAGCAGAAAACCAAAAATATCCACCAATCAGTAGTGATGCACTCTCTAGCTCCTCCTCCTTTTGTTTGTTTTCTATAATTACCATGGAGATTTTGGGGGATTCTTTAGCCGGGATTCACTGAACTGTCTGGCAGCTGCCCCAGATTGCCCTTGTTTTGTAAGTATTCATAATAATTGATTAAACTGCTACCTATAATCAATCTGGAGATTCTTAGCCTCTTTGGTATCAAAAAGAACACCTCACAGTTATGGAGGAGGCACAGGGTTCTTTAGCCAGGGGAATTTCAGACCTTACACCATGTTATCAAGAAGAAAGTAGTACTTCTTAAAAGATTAGAAATACTTCAAAGGAAAAAAAGAAAGAAAGAAAGAAAGAATGAATGAATTTGAAGAGACAGAAGGAAATCCTAAACGTATTGACCTAATTTTCAAAAAAGGAAAGAAGCTAGAATGTTTAGATTATAGATCAGAAAGCTTCATTTCAATTCCTGACAAAAATATGGAATATCATGAAAGAGATGGCTTCTGAGCATTTAGAAAAGGAGGTGGTGATCACTAATAGCAGTCTAGCTCCATCAAGAACATTTCATGCCTAACTAATGCAATTTTCTTTTTTGACAGGGTTATTTGACTTTTATGTCAAGGGAATGCCATGAACATAGTACTTCTGAATGCCAGAAGAGCATTTGACAAAGTATCTCATAATATCCTTTTGGACAAAATGGAAAGAATTGTGTTAGATGATAATACAGTTTGGTGAACTAAGAACTGGTTGAGTGACCAGACCTAAAGTGGGGTCATTTAATGGTCCAGTGACAACCTGGAATGCCCTGTCTTTCATACAATGCTATTCAATATTTCTACCAAAAACTTAAAGGTATAAATGAAATTCTTATATTTGCGGATGACACAAAGTGGAAATGTTATTATGGATGCAGAATCAATATTCAAAAAAGATTTCAAAAAGCTAGATCTTTGGACAAATCTAACAAGACAAAATTTAATAGGAATAAATGTAAAGTTCTTTGAACTTGAGTCCAAAAAAAATCATCTTCACAAGTACAAGATGAAGGAGTTGTTGCTAGATAGTTTATATGAACTCTGTGTGTGTGCATGTATGTGTGTGTGTGTATTTGTATATCACACCCAGGGTTCTGTTTTGGTCCCTGTTCTCTGTTCTTTCTAAACTTTCCCTTGATGATCAGCTCCCATGGGTTCAATTATGAGCTTCAGCAACTGACTTCTGAATCTATTAAGCCCTCATTTTTCTCTTGAGGTCCAATATTACTAGTTTCCTGCTGGACATCTTAACATAGATGTCCTATAGGCATCTCAAACTCAATATGTCTGAAACAGAATTCATTATCCCTGAACCCACTCCTTTTCCTGACTTTGCTATTTCTGTTAAAGGGTATCACTATTCTTTCAGTCACTTAGAGTCACAACCTTGGAGTCAGTCTGCATTCTTTAATCTCCCTTACTCTCTTTATCCAATTCAATTAGTTGCTAAGTGTTGTCAATTCTATCTCCATGACATCTCTTGCTTCTGCCCCCTTCTTTCTACTCATGTAATTAACATTCTATTTCAGGTTCTTCTTACTTTTTTCCTGAACTATAGTAATAGACTTCATTTTAAAAAAACAAAATATTTATTTTATTTTTTAATTAACAAGCATTTATTTTCTTTCCCTCCTCCTACCACTGGCAGGAAAAAAAAGAAAATTAGAACAAAACCTTTGTAACAAATATGCATAGTCAAACAAAACAAATTCCCACATTGGCCATGTCAAAAAATGTGTATCTCATTCTGCATCTCAAGTCTTATCTCCTCTCTGTCAGGAGGTGAGTAGATGCATCTTCATCAGTCTCCTGAATTTACGGTCAGTAATTACTGCAATGGCCTTCTAATTAGTCTCTCCGCCTTCAGTTTCTCCCCTCCCCAAACCATCTTCCAACCAGATGCCAAATTGATATTACTGGAGCCTATGTCTGACTATGTCATTTCCCTGCTTAGGAAGCTTCAATGTTTCTTTAGGATAAAATATAAACTCTTTTGTTTGGAATTTAAAACCCTTCCCAATTCATCTCTAAACTATCTTTCTAGACTGACTTCATCAAGAATGAAGAAATCCAATGAGAAACTATAAGAAATAACTACTTATACCTTTGAGATGCACAAAAAGTAAACCAGAGGGGCAGCTAGGTAGCGCAGTGGATAGAACACCCCGCCCTGGAGTCAGGAGGACCTGAGGTCAAATCCGGCCTCAGATGCTTGACACTTACTAGCTGTGTGACCCTGGGGCAAGTCACTTAACCCCACTGTTTAGCCAAAATAAATAAATAAAAATTAAAAAAAAAAATAAAGTAAACCAGAAACCCAGGGAAATAGGAAAGGGGGCCACTCTCAAAACCAGCACAGACAAACAGGCCAGCAGCCTAGCAACATGACCAGAGATGAATGGAGATGCTTGTAGTCAAGTTAATAGATAATGAATTTTATTTTAGCCACGTTGAGTTTGATATACTCTTATAGGATATCCAGGTTGAAATATCCAGTTGGGTTCTGTTCAGGAGGCAGGAAAAGTGTGGGACTTTCAAGAGAAAACCTGAGAGGAGTATCAAAATTCTCAGGGAGAGGGTATAGGAGAAACTAGATGTCCCTGGGAGCATCAGTGACCAGTGCAGCATGGCAGCATGCATGGTAGCATTTAGACCAAGATAATACATGTGCCTAGGAGCTAAAAAATCTCTAACACTCTGTTCTGAGATGCTAGCACTCTGAACTTCAAGCATCCAGGGAGGCCTGACCTCCAGAGATAGAAGTCAATGCAAGAATCCAGGTGATCCAGGGTAAGACCAAGCAGAAATGACTACCCAGCCTAAGAGTTGGAGTGGAGCCCAGCCCTAGAACAAAGCCCTTCATCAAACCAAAGAAAACAGTAACCAGTGTAAAAAATTATTTTAGATCTAGAGATGCTCCAAAATTCAGTACAAAGAGAGAATGTAACTCAATAACTACTGTAACCTGAGACTCAGGGGGGAAAAATGGATTTTTTTTTTACAAGGACTACATGAATATTTAGAAGAACTGAAACAGATAAAAATAAAATAAATATTCTAGAGAAAGAATTGGAAGGAGAATAAATAGAATAGAAGAGAAAGTAGTAAACTTTAACAAAAAATTGACTCCTTAAAACTAGGATAGACCAAACAGAAATCAATGACTACACAAGACAGCAGAAAATATTAGAACAAAATCAAAGACTGAAAAAGTTGAAGAAAATGTACATTATCTAACATTTAAAAAAATTACCCTGAAAAACAGGTTGAGAGATAATCTAAGAATCATTAGTTGTGGTGCTAACATTTTAATAAGAGAAGAAGAAAAAAGTGACCTTTCAGATCCGTGATGTATTTATTCCATGAGTATCAGGGGAGATAAATAAGAAAAGCAGAGGACCTAAGGATGGATAGGTTCTGTTTTGAGGGCTTTAAGAGAGGCAAGAGAATGGAAGGTAAAAGGAATACATTTGTGTGGGAAGAAGGGGTAGAACTTGCTATTTAATAATTGAGGCACATAAGAAGATGCACCCCATCTCATCTAATAAACATGGAGGAAGAGGTAAAAGGAAGGTGCATCAAACAAACCTTACTCTTAAGTCTCTGAAACAGACAAAGCAGGATTGAATACATGCACAAATAAATGATTTGGTGCAACTCAACAGGAAAACAAGTAGAGATGAGTTTTTAAGAGAAGGAAAATATTTGCAAGCAAGACAAATTTCCTTCTCTCAAAAGAAGGAGGGTGGAATTAAAAAGGGGGAAAAGAATCTAATGGAGTTTTTACCTGTTGAGGGTGGGATAAAAAGGAAAAGAAGAAAATAAGTAGAATCTAAGGGGATTAAGGAATTGAAAAGGGAAAAAGGAAAAGGAGTAGAGTCTAAGGGTTCCCATCCATTGGAAAATGACTAAACAATGTGGTATATTAATGCAATGGAAAATTATTGACCTATTTGATAAATTGAGACAATTTTAAAGAATCCTGGGTAATGTGAGCTAATGTAGAATGAAGTGAGCAGAACCAGGAAAAGAGTTTATGTAAGAACAACAATAAGGTAAAGGAAACTTTGTAAGATGTTAAGAGCTCTGATCAATGGCATAAACAATGTCTCCCACCAGAGGATCTATGATGGTACCCATTCCTTGTAGCTGAGATATATTCTACTACAAATTGACCCTCATCAACTCTGATCATAGGAAAAGTAGCTGGGTGGAAGCGTATTTAAAGACAGTTTTCACATCTCTACTAAACTTCCCTTCCCCAAATTAAACATCCCCTGCTCCTCCAATTAATTGTCATTGGGTATGGTTTCCAGGCTCTTACTGTCTGGTCACATCATTTTGAGTCTGCTTACAGGACCAACAGCTAACAGGAAAGAACAGGGCAATGAGGGAAACAGTAGTCATAGATTTTTACTAAAAGGAGGAAGTTCAGAATTTTTGGTCTAGGAAGGCAAAGGACTTCTTCTACCACTTTACAAAATAAAGCACATAAGCAAGAAGTAGTGGATAGAGTGTTAGAATTGGAGTCAGGAAGACCTGGGTTTAAGTCCTACTTCTGACACTTAGAAGTTATTTGACTCTAACAAGACACCTAAACCCTCTGAGCCTCAGTTTCATAATCTGTAAAATGAGGATGTTGGACTAGATGGCCTAAAAGGTCCCTTCTCACTTTAGATCTATAATCTATACACAATCTCTTAATTTATAAGATTTAGCATAGACCAAAAGCATATATTAGTTTAAGAAAGACTTCAATTCATGAAGAATATATCCATAATGGGTAATTAAAGGAAGTTAGAATTGCTCTGAGAGATTATTTCTCAGAGCATTTCTAACTTCCTTTCTAATTTCCTTAAATCAGCCTTGGGCATTAGAAGGTGACCTTATATAGTACAACTATGTGCTCCCACTAAACATCCCTTGGTGCATTATAATGGATATTTTTTAGATTCTCTTATGTTCCAAGTCTTTCATCTTGGTTGGCATATGTCCTAAATATCCCAGTCCCCTATCTATGAGTCACACTGTACCTTAGGAATATTTTCAGAGTTCTTAATGATTTCCATGAAGCAGCTGTAGATTAAATCCCAGCATTCCTTAAAAGGTGGATCAAAGATAATCATTGGTTCTTCCACTTTGAGTTTTATGAGGATTACCTGAGGGATGAAAAACTCCATCTCTTGATAAGGAGGATCAAAATCATTCCCATCCTCAAAGGAGAAAAAAAAAGGAATAGTAGTTAGAAAGTGAGAAATTCTGGAATTAAGGCCAAGAGAATAGTAACTATTGGCCTATGCTTCTTGAAGTTGGTGTGGGAACCCAATAAGGAGGTGATTGCCTCAGTTCAGGCAGGAAATTCACACTGGCATGACAAGTTATAAGTCTCATGGCCAGTCTCAAGACACTGCACAGTAAAAACTTTGTAAATGATTTTTTGGAGGAAAGGGGAAGAAGGTTGCCAATTACTCCAACATGCCACTTAATAAAAGTTATACTTATTGATGAACTACTATATTACAATATTCCTACCATGCTTCTATGTGGCAGTTGAAAAGTCCTTATGAAATAGTCAGATTTAGAGAAATCTCTAAATCTGCTGCTGAGCCTTTTATATTAACAAGTACTTTCCAGTTGCCTCCATTCTTTTCAGAATCATCTGCAGCCAATTCTAATAATCCAATTCAAGTATATTTGGTTCAGAAAAAAAATCTTCAGAGTTTATTTTAAGGGCATTTTAAATGAGTCAGTGGATTGCAAATGAGTTTCAGTAACCTTGGTCTTACTTAGGGAAGGATCAGAAATGCTGGTTTCCATAGACTTCTCTGAAGTACTAATTAACCACCTGTTAGATCTAGAGTTGGAAGGGACCTCCCAAACCACCTACACCAATCCCTTCATTTTATAGATGAGAATCAAGGAGATTAAGTGACTTGCCCCATGTCACACAGATAGTAAGCATTAAGGATGGGATTTGAACCTGGGTGTCCAAGCCTAGAACCAATGCTCTCCCCTTGTGCGGTCAAACTGTTTGTTTTTTTTTCTTTTTTTCTTTTGTACCTAACACAATGCTTAACATATATTAGGGGCTGGATAAATGCTTACTGATTGTTTGATTAATTGCTTGATTGACCTCTGTGATTTTAATTTAAATAATAATAGCTAACATATAGCACTTTAAGATTTGCAAAGCATTTTACAAAAATTATTTATTTGATCCTCACAACCACCCTGGGAGGTAGGTTCATTTTGGAGTTGAGGAAACTGAGGCTGATAGTGGTTAAGTAACTTGCTCCTAGTCACATGGCCAATAAGCATCTAAGACAGGATTTGAACTCAGTCTTCCTGACTTCAGGCACAGCACTATATCTACTGCACTACCTAAATGTATACTTCAAAGTCCAGTTTAAAACTCCAGTATGCCCCACACATCCACTTATGATCAGAATTGATGAGGGTCACTATGTTGTAGAGACTTATTTTGCTTTATGCAACGGTTCCTAAAAGGTTGTATGTATAAACTGGATTATTGTAAATAAAATTGTTATTTTAAAAGTAGCAGGAGTGCTTGCTATTTTTAAAATTGCTATTGTGAAATGCTTTTGAAAGTAAATAATTAGTTTTTAAATTTGCTTTTTGTTTAGACCCAGATCTTCTTCATGTATTAGCTACACATAAAAGAAAACATTTTAAATAAGTTGAAGTGTGTGAATATAATATAATATTTTTGTGCAATAAAAAATTATAAAGATATAGCACAGTACAGTGGTCAGAGGGCTAGCCTAGGACTCAAGAAGACCCGAGCTTACATCTTGCCTCTGAAACAAACTGGTTGTGTGGCCATGAGCAAATCATTTGACTGCTCAAGGTCCTGGACATAGTACATTGTAAAGGAGTTGCTGATGTGCATTAGCAGAGCAAGTTTCCAGGAGTCCCACACACTAATGAAATTGTAGATTCAGACTCCCCTACCAGCATATAAATATACATGTATGTATGCATGCATACAAATATGTATAGGTATATATGTATAGGTATGCATACATGTATGTGTATGTGTATACATGCACACGTGTATACGTATATACACACAGGAAGATTTGTAGGAATTGATGCAGGGTAAAGAAAAAAGAAGCAAAAGAAAAACTTCCATGATGACTACAATAACAAAAATGGACATTTTACTAAAAGGCAGATTCATTGCAATGAGCAATCTTGGATCCAGGGAACGGAATACGTTCCTCCTCTCAAGAGAGAGGTGGGGGGAGGGTAATTACAGGCACAAAATGATGTATGGTTGCTTTGTCAGCCAGTTTTGCTTAATTATTTCTTTAAATCTTTATTACAAGGGAGGATTGTGTGTGTGTGTGTGTGTGCATGGTGGGGGGTGAAAGGAACCCCCCCAAACCAGAGGTACCAACGAAATTTTCTAAATACAAAAATTATACACCTATCATATAATGATGTTCTTACTACTTTTATCATATCCAAAAGATTAGCTCACTGTCCACTTATACCTTGTGAATCATAAAAAACTCGACAAGATCCTTCAGTGAATTAATCACTAACTCCCGGAGCTGCAGGGACATGAAGGAAGCCACTGAAGCAAAATACTCCTCAATAATTCGAGAGGATTCAAAGTCACTCTTGGGAGCAAAACGAAGCCAATGATCCTTCTGTGAGATAAAATGCTGGGCACAGGTGGGAATCCACCTGCAAGGACAAAAGGCAGCCTGGGGTCAGATAGGTATTTGAGCTCTGGGGACCTTTCTCACTCTCGGCCAACTCTTCTGTCAAGGAAGATGGGTGAGGGGATCCTAGGGAATCGAATAGAGTAGGTGGACCCCTTTCCCACTAAAATAGCGTCATCAATCAACTATCTCAGTTTCTTCAAGACTCGGCTTGGGTGCTATCTCCTACTAGAGGCCTTTCATCAACCCCTCAGTTGTTAATATTCTTTACTTTTTTGAAATTCACAATTTAATTATTATTACTATCATTAATGGTAGGTACTGTGGAGAATACAACAGATGCAGAAGATGTGAACACATCTCGAGGACCTCCAGGAGCTGGAAAGATGTATTTGCTTATTTGTATACATGCTGCCTCCCACCAGTAGAATGCAGTTCTTTAAAGGACAGAGACTCTATTTTGTTCTCATCTTCATAATCCTTACTGCCTTGTGTCTACCCATGGATAGGCACTGAGCCTCTGATTTCATTGGTATAGGGAACACCTAGGTGAGAGAACTCTGGCTATCAATGCAGGGACCTTCTCTTACTGTCTTAGAGAGTAACCTAGAACAAAGGCATCAAATATGCTGCCTGCACCTGCATTTGCAGACTACAACGCTCCCCAGTGCAAAGGAACCACATTAAAATGTAATTGGGAAATATTTAATAAAATAAATAAAAATACAATAGAATACAGATAATGTTAATATGTGGTTTTCTAAGTCAATACGTGGTCTGCAGGGAGCTGCTTTACAGCCAGCTTTCTATACACCTCATCAATGCTTCTCTCAGGTGCATAGTGGACACGTGAGAAATGTTTTTGAATTGAACCTTCTGACCAACTTTACCCATTTCCCCTTTCCCAAGAAAATAAATGAGATAAGCATTGAAAAGATACTTTTCCTATGGTATCACCCATATGGCCAGGACTATTTGGTAAAATACACTTAATAAGAAATGTAAATTTCTTTTCTTCTTAACCATTAGATATTATACGTTATACCACTTCACCTTCCTTTTACTCTTCGGTCCAGTGACACTGACCTCCTGGCTGTTCCTCAAACAAGACACTTCATCTCTCAGCTCAGGGCATTCTCTCTGGCTGCCCCCCATGTCTGAAATGCTCTCCCTTCCCATCTCTTTCTCCTCTCTTCCTAAGCTTCCTTCAAGTTCCAGCTAAAATCCCAGTTTTTACATGAAGGCTTTCTCAATTTCTCTCAATTCTAGTGTCTTCCCTCCATTGATTATATCTAATGTATCCTATATATAACTTGTTTGTGCATAATTATTCCCATGTTGTCCCTCCCATTAGGCTGTGAGATTCTAAAGATCAGGGACTGTCTTTTAACCTTTCTTGGCATCCCCAGTGCTTAGCATAGTACCTGACATATAGTCGGTGCTTAATAAAGGTTTATTGACTGATTGAAAAAAAAAGAAACTGAAATAGGGCTTCCTGCTCAGAAAGAGAGAAAGTAGAATTAAAGGTGAAACATTGCCCTCCTTTACTTCAAGCTCTCATCCCCACCCAATACATGCCCCGAATGCTAATTTTCCAGGGAAATCATTGCCTAAACTCTTCCTGCTATTCAGTGGATGGTATTTTCCTTGGTTCTGGATGCAGCTACATATGTATTCTTATAATGGCTAAAAATGAATTGTCTTAAACACTGGAAACCTCCCTGTCCTTAGGATGTTGAAGTTAATCAGCTGGGTGGCCAAAATACAAGAATGTTAAAATCTTCCACATCACCAAGAAAGGACTCAAAAGTTTGAAAGTCAGTGATGGGAAGTAGGTGCTATAATAGGGAACAGATGATGGGAGAGGCTCCAGGAGAAAGAACCTTTGTGAAAGCAAAGGAATAGTTGGAAGGAAAAACACAGGAAGGGGGGAAGCAATGAGAAGTGCAAGAGTGAGGATGATGAATGTGAGGGTCAATCAATGTAAGTATAAAGAGAGGCTAAGATTTTGCTGTTCAGCATTGAGGACCAGTTTAAACTTCAGCTGGTTCTCAATTTTAATTCCAATTGCTTCCGTCTCATTAATATCACCATTTAGACATAATATTGACCTGTCAAGAAGAACTTGACGAGCTTCAATGCAGTGCTGTTTAATGACTTTGAAAAACTCATTGGGTAATAGTGGCAATGGTCCTGCAAGCAATTCTGCTGTTCGAACAAACCTGATGTTACAAAATCTGTAAGAGAGAGTTTTTTGGAAAACCTGTGTAAGTTAAATTATTATTATTATTATAAATATTATAATTATAAGTAAATATTATTTTAAAATTAATATTAAATATTATTAAATCAAATTTATAGATCACAAATAAAAAGTTTTCCCAGTTTTTCATTAAATGGGACTTATGATTAATGATTATTTATGAGGAACTTTAATGTTAATTATATATGCATATATATTTCTTATTTAAAAATACTTTGTTTCAATCAGCAAAAAAATCTGTTTCCTCCCAAGTGAGAAGAATAGAAAAACAAAACTCATCACGCAATGCATAGTAAATAAAAAAAATTTCCACATTGGCCATGTCCAAAAAAAATGTCTCATTCTGCACTCTTGATCCTTCATCTCTCTATCAAAAGGTAGGGAGCATATTTGTCCAAGGATCAGCCTTGCTAAGTTCAGAGAGACTTATCATCTGAGGATTATCTGTATTACCTTGCATTTTGTGGTATATCCTTACACACACACACACACACACACACACACACACACACACGTACATTCTCTTTTGATAGAATGTAAGCTCCTTAAGGGCAGGGATTAATTTTTGTCTTTATATACTCAATGTCTAGTATAGATTAAAGCTATTCAGCTTTATCTTCTTCATTACCCCTCTCATCATCTCAACACATTACTGTCCATTATGTCATATATCCCAACATATTACTATCCAGTCATTCTTCTCTCTGGTCCCTGAGGAATTCTCTCTAAAGTTAATCCCGATACCAGCTCTACAGGTTTTATGCCCCCCTGACTTCTGAGGGATCTTTCTCAAACACATATACTCTAGGCAGCTAGGTGGTACAGTGAATAGAGTGTTGGGCCTGAGGTCAGGAAGACCCAAGGTCAAGTCTGACCTCAGATACTTACTAGCTATGTGATCTTGGGCAAGTCATTTAATACCTGTTTGCCTCAGTTTCCTCATCTGTAGAATAGGAATAATGATAACACCTACCTCCCAGGGTTGTTATCAAATGACATAATAATTGTAAAGTGCTTAGTACAGTGCCTGGCCCATAGTAAGCACTCTATAAATGCTAGTTATCATTATCATCATCATCACCATTATTATTCCCTCTCTTTTCAACCTCTGTCCTCCCATTGGATCTTTCTTCTTTGCCCTCAAACATGCATAGGTCTTCCACTATCAACCTTTGATGACCCTATTACTCCCTCAAGCTATGATCCTATTTCTCTCCCTTTCTGAGCCTCATGTTCCTCATCTATAAAATGTAAATAACAAGACTTGCCTTAACTCCCTTGGAAGGTACAAATGTAAATTGATTTGAAAACTTTAAGGTGTTAATAAATGTTCCACACTAATGCATTGTTGGTGGAGTTGTGAAATGATTCAACCATTTTGGAGAGCAATTTGAAACTATGCCCAAAGGGCTATAAAAATGTGCAAACCCTTTGACCCAGCAATAGCACTCCTAGGGCTGTATCCCAGAGAGATCATACAAATGGGAAAAGGACCCACATGTACAAAAATATTCATAACAGCTCTTTTTGTAGTCGTGAAGAATTGGAAATTGAGAGGATGCCCATCAGTTAGGGAATGGCTGAACAAATTGTGATATATGAATGTGATGGAATACTATTGTGCTATAAGAAATGATGAACAGGCTGACTTCAGAAAAACCTGGAAAGACTTGTATGATCTGATGCTGAGTGAAGTGAGCAGAACCAAGAGAACGTTGTACACAGTAACAGCCACATTGTGTGATGACTAATATTGATAGACTTAACCCTTCTCAGCAATACAAGGATCTAAGACATCTCCAAAGGACTCATGATGGAAAATGCTATCCACATCCAAAGAAAGAACTATGGAGTTGGAATGCAGATCGAAGCATACTATTTGCTATTTTTTTCTTCTGTTGTGTTTTGTTTCCTCTTTCTGGTGGTTCTTCTTATTAGTTCTAATTCTTACTTACAACATCACTAATATGTAAATATGTTTAGTAGGAATGTATGTGCATAGCCTATATTAGATTGCACACTGTCTTGGGGAGGAAGATGGAGAAGGAGGGGGAGAAAAATTAAAAATTCAAAAGCTTATGGAAGTGATTGTTGATAATTCAAAATAAATTAATTAAAATTTAAAAAATAAATAAAAATAAAGAGGCCTGATCCTGGTTCTGCCATTTATAGACTGTGGGGTGTTGGGTAATTCTAGGGCTTCTACTTCCACATCTATAAAATGAGGGGTTTGGTCAAGATGATCAGTGCTCTGCTCAAATGCTATGAAATGCAACTTTAATCAATGCTTAATATTAATTTCATTTTAAAATGTTGCTGTAGAAGCTTATACAACTGAATCTGTGTGATTGTCATTCAACTGTAAGCTCCTTGAGGGAAAGGATTGTTTTTCTTTTTCTTATTTGTATCCCCAGGGTTTAGCACAATGCCTGGCACATAGAAGGTACTTAATAAATGTTAGTTGAAATCCGTTTAAAAAAATGTTCCATGCAGCAGTATAATAGAAAGACCAACTGGGAGTCAGTAAGATCTGGGCTCAAGTCCTGTCTGTCCCTACCTACATGTTGGCTGTGTGACCCCTGGTAAATCTCTTAATCCCTTAGCAACCAAGGAAGATCTCCAAGATTACAAATTGTGGCAGGAGGTGATCTGCAATGATTGAGAAAGTTCTCTAAACCAGTCTCCTATCAGTTATAAAAATGATATCAAATACTGTTTATACTTGCTGCTTCCACTTCACTCCCTGCCCATTTCTTTCTACACTCCTTATAATCTGACTCCCATCACTACTTTTTCCTGTGTTTAGCACTTGGTAGACACATAATAGCTATGTAATGAATGGGTGTCTTACTCTGAAAACCACAACTCATTCAGGATCAGCATCATGGGATTCACTATAAAGAGATGCTCTTCATTCCACATCTTCGCAGCCTTATATTCTTTGTTCCATGGCACTGGTGCTCGAATTATTCTTTGAGGAAACACGTGGGGGATGCTGGCAATAAAGAGTCTTTCTTTCTCCAGTGGATCCATCAGAATATAATCAACTATAACCAAGACAATAAATACAACACTCTGTCAGAAATGCCTAGGTCCCCCACTTTAGTTGCCCTCTTTGCTGGTAAAACATTCCTTCCTTTTCTTTCTCCATAATTGGTTTATTGGCTTATATCCCCTGGCATTGACTAAGTGAAACATTCTTCCTGGGTATTTGATTTTTTTTTTCTTTCCAGAGGGAGCTCAGAAGAAGCAGGAGCAGATCTTTAGGGCTTAGAGTAGAGTGAACCTAAGACTGAACCATATTATAGAACCTAAATATCTTAAATATAGCGGGGATGACATATGTTGGGGATGAAGAAAATATCTATCAAGGATTGAGTAGAACCCTTGGAACCAATTGGATTAATATTTTATAAAAGGAGTAAAATTTTTCATTAAATAAGCTGAATGGCTACTATTTTGCCTACATTGAAGGGTGGGGGGAGTTTATATGAAATAATATGGTAGAATGGAAAGACACTGACTCTAGAGTAGGGATTCTAAATCTGGGATCCATGAACTTTAAAAAATATATATTTTGATAACTATTTCAATACGAAATGCCCCAAAAGTCTTGGTACAGTTTTAAGCCTTTATGGCTTAAGTTTTAAGCCATAAAGGCTTAAAACTATACTGAAACTTTTGGGACAACCTACATTTTATAGCTTAAGCTTTAAGTTTAAGCTATAATGGGGATAATAATAACACCTACCTCAGAAGGTCATTAGAGGATTAAATGAGATAATATTTGTTAAAAGCATTTATCGCAGTGCCTGGCACATAGTAGATTTGATATAAATGTCTGTTTACTTGCTTACTCACCCTGTAATCTGTAATCCTATGTGTTTTAATTTATGAATTTAAAAACATTATTTTGAGAAGGGATTCATAGACTTCACTAGATTGCCAAAGGGGTCCATGACACAAAAGAATATTAGGAACGCCTGTTCTAGAGTCAGACAACCTGGGATCAAATCCTACCTCTGTCTCTTGTTACCTTGGACAAGTCATTTTTTGTTTCAGAGCCATAGTTTCCTCATCTAAAAAAATGAGGATGCCAGACTACATGGGCTTTGAGGTTCCTTTCCAGCTTCAAATCTATTATCTATATATTTGTTCATTTTTCAATAAGCTATGCTCTTCAATTCAACTTGACAAGCATTTATTAAATACCTATTATGTGCTAAGCATTGTGCTAGGCACTAGTGACACAAAGGAATAAAAGAAAATCATTCCCTGCTGTCAAGGAGTTTATAGTCTACCCAGTAGAAGCAACATATACATAGATAAGTAGATAAAAAGTGATTTTGATAGAGAGAGACCTCTAACAACTGGAGAATGAGGAAAGGCCTCATGTAGAAGGTCATACTTGAGTTGAGTACTGAGAGGAGTTGAGTTGAAATGGGAAAGCATTCCAGGCACGGGCTATAGAGGCCATTCTCTGAGAGGAAACGTCTTAAGTTACCAGGTGATATGGAAAACAGGGTGCTTAATGCCTGGGTGGTGTTTAGGTTATAACTGCTCTATGGGACTAACACTAGGTAAGGTTGAGAGCTTACACAAGGGAGGTGGAGGGCAGAGTCGGAATCCCAGTATTCTGTGTTGGAGACAAGTTTAAAGATTGCCTGGAATGGGAAGGGTGGGATGCAACCCATCATCTCACCCTCTCAGTTGATCACACACTCTTTGGGGTCAGGCCACACAGCCTAGAGATAACCTTGGTCTCCATTTTGGAGACCACTGCTCTATGTTACCAAGAGCTTTTAGAATCTTGACTCTGTAATGTATTAGCTATTTTTTCCAGATTTGTGTCATCTGTTAGTTTGTTAAATGTACCTTCTATGCTTTATCCAAGGAATAAACTATTAAATATAATATAAAAATATTAAACTGCATAGGACCAAAGCACAGATCCTTTGGGGCTCTTCACTGGAGGCTTCCCTTCAAGTTGTCATTGAGATATTAATGACTAGTCTTTGAGCTCAGTTCTGAATTCATTTAATTGTACTGTCTTCTAGCCCAGTGGTTATCAAAGTATGATTTGCAAATGACTAGGGGGTCCATGAGACCCTTTCAGGAGGTTCTTGAAGTTAAAACTATTTTCATAATAATACTAAGTCATTATTTGCCCATTAAAATAATCTTCTCTTTTCCAGCTACACGGTTGTGTGAGTCTGGATTTTTTTTTTCTTATACTTCAATCAAAACAACATATCCCAACAAAATGATATGAGAATCCAGCTGCCTTCTTTTAAGCCAGATATTGAAGAGATTTGCCAAAATATGTAAAAAAAAAATGCCATTCTTCTCACTAAATTGTTTTTATCTTGGAAAATGTAGTTATTTTTTCACAAATATATGGTATTTGCGTTGTAATGGGTTCATTATTTTTTTTATTTTTTATTTTTTTGCTAGGCAATGGGGTTAAGTGACTTGCCCAGGGTCACACAGCTAGTGAGTGTTATGTGTCTGAGGTCATATTTGAACTCAGGTCCTCCTGAATTCAGGGCCGCTGTACCACCTAGCTGCCCCCATTATTATTTTTAAATAAATTAATAAACACGTCTTTAAAAAACTTATCAGCTTTCACTTCTAACATGGTAAATATCAATAGACATAACCCTTATCAACCAAAGTTCCTTAGAGTCCTCAATGATTTTAAGAGTGTCAAAGGGCTCTTGATAATTTTAAGCATGTCTAGGAGTCCTGAAATTAAAAAGTTGGAGGATCACTGCTCCAGCCCATTCCTTTTCATCATTTACACAAAAACAGCATGAGAGATTTTATCAAATGCTTTGCTAGAGTAGATCCCTAATCCAACTCCCTTGTTCGACAGATGAGGAAACTGCAGCCTAGAAAGGTCAAATGACTTCATTAAAGTCACAGAGATGGCAAAGCTAGTACTTAGACCTAGATTTTAATAAAAGGATTTGTTCTGTAAAATTTGGATTCAGTCAAAAGGCCATACTTAAGGATATAGAAGGCCAAATGTGGCCTCAAGGCTGCAGGTTCCCCAACCTGATCTAGAGATATTTAGATGGCTCAGTGGAGAGAACACTGGGCCTGAAGTCAAGAAGACATGAGTTCAAATCCAACCTTAGATACTTTCTAGTTGGGTGACCTAAGTTGGCAAGTCACTTAACCTGTAATTGCCTCAGATCCCTCAACTCTAAAATGGTGATAATAACATCTATCTAGAAGAGTTGTTGTGAGGATCAAATGAGATGATATTTGTCAAGGCACTTAGCACAGTGCCTGGCACACTGTAAACACTTAATAAATGCTTATTTTCTTCCTATTGAATATACCAAGCCATGACCTTATGTGTCCTATGATTTACCAATATCCTTCATGAGACTGTGGTAGTAGTCTTGTTCATTCTCCTCCACAAGATTTCTTAATAAGGGCTCCAGGTTGGGACTCTTTATCAAGTGCGATGGAATAAGTTTTAGAATTCGTTCAAGTATATTCTCATCCTGTTGGGCAATCATGTCTTTCCGAATCCCATGAGTCACATAATAATAATATCTCTACCGAAAACAAAACAACAAAACCAAACAACAACAACAAAAACAGCTTTAAAAAGGAAACTAGTGATTAGACGGACTTACTGAAACTGCTCTGCATAACTTAACTGAAACTACTGACAATCTTTCTAGGGACATTTGCCCTTAGACTTGAGACTCCATTGCTTTTAACTTCATTCCCCCTTTATGACTTTCCTTTCCTTCCCCAGGGTCACACAGCTAGTAAGTGTCTGAGGCTAGATTTGAAACCAGGAAGATGAATTTTCCTGACTCCAGGCCCAGCACTCAGTGCCCTTATAGCACCACTTAGCCTCCCCAGTTAAGTGTCAAGGGAGCAGTTATTTCTTATTGTCTTGAGGAAGAGGCTGACCAGCCATTCTCCTTGTCTGCAAAGTACCAACTAAGAGCAAAGAGTATGAAACAAAAGCAAATAAGTTTTTAGTTGGATTCAAAGAAGCACTTCTTGGACAATGGGTTATAATAATCAATGAAGGGAAAGCAAACAAAATGGGGCCCACCTCCAAGTCTAACTTTGAGGGTTCAGGTTCTTTTTTAGCCATTTCCTTTTCTTCTTGGATCATCACATCAATCTGTTCTTCTGGACTCATTGGCCGGCTCCCAGGGAAATCAGAAATATCTATTCCTGAGACCATCGAATTTATGGAAGTCAAAGTCTTAATGGGTAGTATGCCTCTGAAATAAACACATCCTCTCTTAGTGATCTGTTTTTTTTTAATTGAGTATTTTACTTTTCTCCAGTTACATGTAAAAACAATTTTTAACTTTTTTTTTTTGGTGAGGCAATTGGGGTTAAGTGACTTGCCCATGGTTACTAAGCTAGTCTTGCTAGTCAAGTGTCTGAGACTGGATTTGAACTCAGGTCCTCTTGACTCCAAGGCGAGAGCTCTATCCACTGCACTTCACATTTGTTTTCAAAACTTTGAGTTCCAAATTCTCTCCCTTCCTTTCTCCGCACTCCCCACTCCCCAACCCCCATTGAGAAGATAAGCAATTCGAAATAGGTTATACATATGTAGTCATGCAAAACATATCCATAATAATCACGTGAAAGAAAAGAGACCAAAAAATCCTCATGAAAAATAAAGTAAAAGAAAAAAGTATGCTTCAATCTGTATTCAGATACCATCAGTACTTTCTCTGGGGATGGATAGCATTTTTCATCATAAGTCCTTCAGAGTTGTCTTGGAGAATAGCTTACTCATTCACAGCTGATCATCTTGCAATATTGCTGTTACTTTGTACATAGTACATTTCACTCTGCATTAGCCCATCCAAGTCTTTCCAGGTTTTTCTGAGAGCATTCTGCTCATCATTTCTTATAGTACAATAGTATTCCATCATAAATGATCTGTTTTTACACCAAGATATTATGTTATCACATCCTACCCTCTGCAGACTGACAAAGGTAATTCTGTACAAATCATGCAGGCCGCCTCTGCTCTGTACCTTCTAACAGAATATTTCTGTCCACATTTATTCCCTATGTTGTATATTCTTGTATGTCATTGAACATCTACTAGGTATCCATGTCAATGGCTTGTTAGCTCAGTTGCATAGGGTATGTACCAATAAGGCTAAGGTCATAAGACTAAGCCAGTTCATTTCCCTCTATCCGTTATCAACAGGCAGCAATTCCTAACTCTAGCCATCTATTTCCCAAATGCATGTAATGTAGTTGATTTTAAGGAGAACTGTGTGAGAAAGTGTGGATGAGTCAGTGCAAATCAATCTACTAGAAAATAATTAAGTGTATACTTTGAGTGGCTACTATCATCTTCCTACATGAAGGGAGATACATGTAGCATACATAAGGCTACATCAGGCCAGGCTTGGGTAAGTGTAGTGAGGTTGAAACCTCGAGAAAGTCATTCATTATGTCTAATCTGCATCCTTTCCACTGTAGTCCAAGAAACTCATTTGCTCTATCCCTTAGGGAATAATAGAGAATACTAATTACCTGGCTGGAAAGGGTGCCTCATTCTCTCTCTCTGAAGATTCTAGTGCCTTACTAGAAAAATAGAAAAAGGAAATAAACTTTTTCAGTGGACAATGTAAGGAGCACTTCATCTCTGCTTTCTAGATGGCCTAGTGTCTGAAACCCAGGGACCCTGGCCAGGGTTAACTTTATGGACAGGAGGAATAAGCAGCCACCAGCATGATTTGAGACATTGCTCCTCCTGCCCTGACTTTCCCCCAAAATTTCCTCTTCCTGCCCATCTTTGAGGACTAAAATCCCACTACTATGGGATTTCTCTGATGTTATTCTCTAATAAAATAATGCAAATAACTGTATATGTAACTATAATTTATTTGCCTTAATGTATATGAATATGTCAGTTCCTTCCTACTGTCAGAATAATGACAATGAAAAATTGGAAGTACGTGAAGTATTAGATATTTGAGGCTTGCTAAAGGGTGGGTTATGCTTATTTCCATAATTTAAAATAGCAGTTATTAAACTGTGGTTTGGGAAGTCTCTATATTCTCTCAGTGGATCTGAGAGGTCATTATCATTTTCCTAGTAATACTATTTTAATTTCTAATAGAGTAAATATCCTTAGATATAACCCATATAAATAAAAATTATTTTGCAGGGAGAGTCTTTAAAAATTTTTGAGAGTGTCAAGAGGTCCTGAGACCAAAAAGTTTGAGAACCACTACTTTGAAACACTGGTAAGAATATATTATACGCAGAGAATAGTTCATATTTATTTAGCTTTCTAACATTTTCTAACATTTTCAAAGTGCTCACAACTCTATAAAGTATATAGCATGAGTTATGTTACAGTCATGTTACATGAGTCTTGTTACAGATGGGGAAACTGGAGTTCAGAGAGTGTTCACAACTCTAGGGAACAAAATCCACTGGTTAGGAAGTATCAGAGTCAGGATTCAAACCCCAGTCTCTTCTGACTCTAACTCTATTGCTTTGCCAATTACTGCCACATCCTACCCTGCATCACCACCAGGAAGTGGTATGGCTTAGAGGACAGTTATCTTCTCAATCTGAAAGACCTGAGATCAAGTCCCATATCTGATATATACTGGCTGTGGGATCCTGGGAAAAATCACTTAGCTTCTTGGTAGCCTGGGAAAATTTCTAAGACTATAAATTGCAGAGAGGATGCCAATATGCATGGTAGCGCGAGTTTCCTCATTGAGAATTCCCTGTACCAATGAAATCACAATGAAATCCAGTCAAATCTGTATCTACATCTGTAACTATATCACCTATATCTATAATGATGGCTATGAGGCTGATGAGGGAGAAAGAGACCTCCTAAAAGGTAAAGCAGGAAGGTAAACTTCACCTATTTTATAAATGAGCCTGAAATCAGTCCTGTCCCATACGGAATGCTCAGTGTGGTAGATTACCTGAAATTATCAATTTTGCTTCTGGTTGAAAACTTGAGTCTCTTCACATTGGGCCCATCTCTTGAAGCTGAAAGTGGAAATGACAAAGGCAATAATGACAATGAAGTGACTTAGTGCCATATCACTTCTTCCTTCTCTTCTGAATTTTCAGACCCACAGACAATGCTATGTCCAGCAATTAGGAGGTGTAGCATGACTGAGTGAAAAAAGAGCTGTTCTGAGAGTCAGGAAAGTCTGGATTTCAGTCCCATCTTTGATACATACTGGCTGGGACCTTAGCAAGCCAATTAACTTCTCAGTGCTCAAGGCAATTCTTTTTTTAATGGTGTGTCTTTTTGTAAAATAATATTTTATCTTTTTTCCCCCAATTAAATGTAAAAATAATTTTCAATATTTATTTTTTAAAGTTTTAAGTTTCAAATTCTATCCTTCTCTCTCCTTGCTCTCTGCTCCCTGAGATGGTAAGCACTCTGATACAGGTTGTACATGCACAATCATGTAAAATATATTTCCATATTAGTCATTTTGTGGAAGAGAACTCAAACCAAAAAAAAAATGAAAAAAAAAAGAAAGTGAAAAATAATATGCTTCAATCTGTATTCAGATGCCATCAGTTCTTTCTCTGGCAGTGGATAGCATTTTTCATCATGAGTCCTTTGGAATTGTCTTGGATAGAGGCAACTCTTAAATTGTGGATAAAGTAATGGCCTACAAAGATAGAAAAAGTTCCTCAACCTCAGAATTCCCTTTACCAGTGAGATGACAGCTATCACACCTACTAAGTAAACCTGGATAATCCACTTAACCTAGTGCTGATATGCTCCACTAAAGGGAGTTTCTTTATTGAGTGCTTCTTAAAACAATGAAATCACAAGTCAGGAGAAAAAAAAATCACAAGAAAGATAGCATAATGTGAAATGATGTCCAGAGTCTGTCCTGGAGGATAGACAGGATATTTGGGGATTAATTAGAAGATGTGGTGGTGTGTAAGGAAGCCAAACTCAGAGTCAACAGAAGTGAGTTTTAGTACCAAGCCCACCACTTTCCTGGCTGAACACATTACCCAATTTCCCTGCACCACAGTTTCCTGCTCTGTAACCCAAAGACAACAATGCCTGCCATGTCTAACTCATCGGGCTACTGATGGAATCAGATGATATGTATATTACAAACTGGCAAACTACAAAATGCTCTATAAATAAGAGAAATTATAATGAACAGCTAAGCACTCCAATCCATCCTCTTTAGCTATCAAATTGATCTTCCTAAAGTTCAGGTCTGATCATGTCATTAATGTTTCCCACCTCTCACCCCCAAATCCTTTCCCATTCAATAAACTCCAGTGGTTCGAATTACTGTCTAGATCCAGTTATATAAAATCCTCTGTATGGTTTTTTCAGTTCTTTATAACCTGGTCCCTTCCTATCTTCTTCAGACTTCTTACGCCTAACTCTTCTCCATTTAATCTGCTCTCCTGTGGCACATCTCCATTCTGTTTCTCAAACAGACATTCCATTGCTATCTCTAGTGCGTGGAATTTTCTCCCTAATCTCCACCTCTTGGCTTCCCCATCTTCCTTCAAGTCTCAGCTAAGGTCCCACTTCCTGCAAAAGGCCGTTCCCAGTCCTTGTTTACCTTAATGCTTTCCCTTTGAGAGTATCCCCAATTGATCCTGTACATATCTTGTTTGTACAAAGTTGTTTCTATTTTGTCTCCCCCATTAAGTTGTGAGCTCTTGAGTATTGTTTTTTGCCTTTATTTGTGTCTCTACTGTTTGGCACAGTGCCTGGCACTTAATTAAATGTCTAGCAATTAATAAATGCTAGTAGATTGTCTGAAGCAGGGCTGGATTTAGGAGAATTTAGAACTGTATGTATTGCTCTTTTTAAGGGCCTGAGCTGCACTTCCCTAGTGTTCCGACACACATGTGTTCTGTTCCAGTCTCCAAGTTGGAGCCGGAACCTTTACTTCTACTCCTCCCAAAGCTGATTTTACCTTGTCCCAAACTTTGGCCAGGCCATAACTCTAACCTTCTAGTGTCTTTAAGTCCACAGTTAACTTTTGCTGCAGCAGAGGAAAAAGGGAAACCCTTAACTCTCCCCAGAAAGATTAAGGAAAATAACATTATTTTTTACCTCTTGCTCCTGGAATGCCAAATCTCAATTCCTTCTCCACTCTAGTACATCCTCATCCTTCACTCTACTGCCAAAGTGATTTTCCTTAAAAGCAGATCTGACTATGTCATTCCACTACTCAAGCTCAATTACCCTAACACCTCTAGGGTAAAATATAAATCTTTCTGCTTGGCTTTAAGAACAACTTTTGTACATTTCCTTGTGTAAAGGTAAAGGTTCACCCCAAACCCAATTAATTACAATAGCCCAGACATCTTGATTAAATTAATTAAGCAAAAGCAAACTAGTTTTTTTAAAAAAAAGAGTAAGTTAGGTATGATTAAGTCCTTAATTGGGTGTGATTGGTTGCAGAAAATAAAGGCATGCCTCTTGGGTTACATATAACAACAGCAACCTAGTTTAGAGCTAGTCAGTAAAATGGGAGAGGACTCCCATTTTGGCATTACAAGCCAAAAGGCTGAGGATTCCAAGCCCCTGAAAGTGAATTTCTTCTACTTCTTCCCTAATATCCATGTTGCTGGAGAGATTGGACTACTAGGAGATGATGCAACCAATTGATGCAACTAGTTGTAATTAGAGCCATGGTCAAAGATCTCTTAAGAAAAAGCACCTGTGGGGCAGCTAGGTGGCGCAGTGGATAGAACAACAGCCCTGGATTCAGGAAGGCCTGAGTTCAAATGTGGCCTCAGACACATAACACTTACTAGCTGTGTGACCCTGGGCAAGTCACTTAACCCCATTGTCTAGCCAAAAAAAAAAAAAAAAAAGAGCCGTACAAGAAAAAGCACCTGAGTGTACAGAGATGGAACTGATAAGGTTATAACTTGTATTACTTCAAATGGTTGGAAGACCTGTAGGTCTCATTGGTAGCAGTATCCACTAAAGGTCATAGCAATGTCTGATATTGTATTTGCATCAGGAGCCAAAAGATACATTGGGGACAAAGTTGACACATCAGGGAAAGGTAACATCATGACTTCAAGGGCACTGACCCTGAGAACCTAGCAAAGTTACACAACACACTTGTCCCTACCATTAGAATGTAAGTTTCTTGAGAACAGAGATCTCTGTACTTGTATCTCCAGCACCTACCATAGTGCCCAGCACATAGTAGGTACTTAATAAATGTGTGTTGGTCAGTTGGTGAAGCCACACTTTGAAAATCCAGTCCAAGTGCCAGCTCTTCCAAGAGGCTACCTTTGACTACTCTAGAGCTCATGAATACTTTTCTTTTCTCACAATGAATCATACACACACACACACACACACACACATACACACAAGTATACATGTATATAAGTAAATATAATACGCATGTGTATATATGTGTATATGTATACATAGTACCTTATTGTTTTGAATTGTATCTATTCTATCTATCTTGTATTGTTACCTTATTATTTTAAATGTATATATTTTTTCCTCCCTAGTAACTTATAAACTCCTCGAGGGAAGGGACTGGTTCTCATATTTCTTTTGTATCTTTCATCAGGCAAGTACTAAGTACTTAAATACTTAACAAATATTGTTATATTAATTTGACACCGCATATTTTAAGTGTTTGAAATTTTAAAGCAAAATGAGTAACTTCCTGCTTTTCTTACATCATTTCAAAATATTAGGAGTCTCATTACTTCTAGAGCACTGGTCAATTTTAGCTGAATGTGTAGGGTTTTTTTTAAACAAACATTTATTAATTCTAAAAGGTATAAACTAGTTAACAAAAAGGCAATACAACAAATTGGAAGATAACTATTATGAAATTAAAATGATAAATTATGAAATTCATTTAGGATCAAAAGTCAACAGATGGATTTTATGTTTCTAGGCCAACTAAAAAATGTCTCTGTATGTTTTTCAATTTTGTAACCACTAAAAAGTAAATAAAGCTGACTTTCCATCATTGGGAATCAGTAAGGACAGGAAAATCAGGATATTAGAAATTAATAATCAAAATAAAATGTATTTTAGCCTGGATTTTAACTTTTTTTCCTTCCTTCTACTGAACCTTTCATCAAAACTGCTCTGAAATCCCAATTTGCTTTTCCCTTCCTCTCCATACCCCTAATCAACAAAGTGGCCCAGGGGAAAAAACAGTAAGAAAAATAAAGATAACCCACAAACTGGGTAAGTCCTCACATAATTGAGAATTGCCAATACTGAGAGACTAGATTCCTTTCTTTCTTCTTGAGTAGTAATCCCACTAATTGGCAAATACTAGATCACATCTCTAATCATAGGATCCAAGATTTAGAGACAGAAGGGATTTTTAGAGGTCATCAAGCCCAAACTTTTCATTTTACAGATGGGGAAACTGAGGCTTAGTGATTTGCCCATGGTCACACAGTGTCAGAAGGAGGATTTGAACCCAGGTCTTCTTGACTCCAAGTCCAACACTCTATCCCCTCTAGCATACACACACACACACACACACACACACACACACATACATGCACACACACACATATATACATATATACATGCATACATACATCTACATCTACATGTATATATTGCTGCCCTTCTATAAAAAGTGTTTGCCTAGATAGGAATTTTTTTTTGCCAGAAATTCATCTTAAAAGTACCCCCACCATATATCCAATGATTATATTTATAGCAAATACTCCAGGCATGGGAGAAGGTTATGGGAACATAGAGATAGAGATAGAGGTAAGGTTAGAGGTCTAGTCCAACTCCATTTTCAAGTGAAGAAACTGAGGCAAAGAGAGGTTAAGAGACCTCCCAAGGTCATACAGGTTATAAGCAGGATTTAAATATGGGCTTTCTGTCTGGAAATCCAGTAATCTTTCCAATGTACTCTGGTGTCTCTGAGGAACCCATGGCCAGTTTCATTCAGCTCCACAGATTACACTTTGATTCACCCCTACTCACATACTTAGCTTTTTGGAGAAGAAATTTCTAAGGGAATCTAGATTAGCAGGATCTGGAAGTGATTTCAACCCCATACTTTCCAAGAAGGGAGTTGTTTCTTGGGGACAGAGGACATCAAGGGGCAGAAGATCACTTACCTGTGGCTAAATCTGTGATAGGGTAATACAAAAGCTATAGGAACCATGACACTTTGGGAGAGAAGGCCCAAAGCTCAAAATGAAAAAAAAAAATAAAGGAAGTAGACTAGTTATTATATAATTTCAGATAGAATCATAAGAAGGTGGGATGGTTGGCAGAGCATTTTTAGGAGGAGAAATGAGGATGTCAGATAGGCAAAATCTCTTTGGGTAAGCCCAAAGGAAAGAGGATAGTTTCAGCTGTTAACAAGAGTGCAATACTAGGACATCTCATGCTTTCTCCCTGCACTCTCCCTCCTTTAATGAAAATACTAGCACCATCTAATTTTATTCTGAAGCTAAAAGATACCCATTTTTGCTTTCCGACACCCCATTCCAAATGGGGTGATGATTGTAACAGGCTGGTAGATCTTCAGCAGGTCCCTCAATTTCAGGTCTCGAGCCATCATGGAATAGTTGTTAGCAATGGAATCACTGGGACCACGATAGTGAATTTGGTCCTTGAATGGTACAGCCTTAGTCCATGACGTCCTTTGCATCAAGGGAGGATAAAAGCTGTGTGACATGACTGTCTAGATTTGGAGAAAGCCAGAAGAAATATAATAGTAACAACTCATGTTTATATTGCGCTTTACATATTATATGATATCCTTGAGAGTACAGACTATCTAACTTATTCTATTTTAAATCCCTAGTGCTTAGCATAGTGCTTTGTACATAGAAAGCATTTAATAAATGCTTCTTTTCATTCATTCATTCATTCATTCATTCATTCATTCATCCATTAATAGAAAACATGACAACACTCTGGTTGTCCATCTGTTATCCTTTCTCCAAACATTCATGTCCTTTCTTTGACTTTCTTTTTGTACTGCAAACTAATCTGTTCAGCAAGGTCCACAGCAGGTCTCAATGTATCAAATACTGAAGCTAAGCACCTCTTGTATGAATCATTTTGCTCACAGGAAATATCAACTCCATCTTTCTAGTAGGGTAAGGGGAAAGAGTGCTAGATCAGGGGTCAGAAGCATTACTTACCTTGACAAATTACCTACCTATCAAAAGGATACTGTGTAAATAAAATTGAAATTAGTTGAGAAAGAGCTTGCAAAGTCAAGAACCATGTAAATAAGGGTGTTATTACTATAGTATATTTTATAGTGCAAATAGATCTGGTCTTAATTAGATATATCAGAACAAGTATATTGGTCAATGTCTCCAGTCCCCAAGTGCCTCACCCAAAAGTTCCAAATGAAAAAAAAATTAAAGAAAGTGGACTAGTTAAAATATAATTTCAGGTAGAATCATAAGAAGGTGGGATGTTGAATTTATGAGTTGAATGGTTGGTCCTGTTTGAATCTAAATTATTTTAGAGCAGGGACTGTTTATTGCTTTTCTATTCCCACCCAGTACCTAGCACGGTAGCTGATCCATAGCAGGCATTTAACAAATATTTATCCAATTGAATGAAATAGAAATTTTTGATCATCTGACCAGTATCCATGGATGTCACTTCTGAATTGACAACAAAGCTGTTCAGACAACCATCATTACCTCTTAAAATAGCACTGATAAGTAAGTGTGTGTGTACATGATGTGTATGACCTTTGTTGCAGGGACTAGCCTGATGCCTCAAAAGATTAAGAATAACCTCTGGGTCTCAGCACATCATCTCATAACTCTTAGCGGGGGGAGGGGGAGCCGGGAAGCAGCATTTCTACAGCAGACCTTGTAGAGGTCAGACGGTTCTTCATTGGCAGATGGAGGCAGAGGCGGCAACTCTGGTCGCATCTTAGAGTGGCTCATGTGATGTATGGAGTCGTTTCTGGTGGACTGTAGAAAATAAGAACAAAGATTCTTTTAAAGGACTAGGATATGTCTATAGGACTCTGGCTGGTGAGAGGGAAGAGGGGAATAGGAGGAAGGCACAGACACATTACCATTAGGAATTATAGAAATTTGGTTGAGTACGTATTTTTATTTTTAAATCCCCTCTTTCAGGGTTCTTCCTAGATCATTCAGAAGATTGCATTATCTCCTTTATTTAGTTTCTGTATTATATTGGTTAATGGAAGTTATTGCCAGAAAGAACCTAAATTTAGAGGCACCTTCCAGGTTTGAAAAGCAAAGTCAGGAGCTGACCACATTTATTTCATTCCTCCCAAGCCCCTGCTGCTGGGCAAAAGATAAACTCAATTATCTCCTCCAGCTATTATCCTATGACTCTCTTTCCTTTTTCAGTCAAACTCCTTAGAAAAAACTATCCATACTCATTGCCTCCACTTCCTCTTTTCCTCAACTGTTGGAAAAACTGGGTTTTGACTCAATCAAGCAACTGAAACTCCACAATATATTTTTAAATAGATTTTTATTTATATCTTTTATTTGTACATCATCTACAATTTGCCCTGTATCCTTTCCTCCTTCCAGAAAGCCATCCCTTAAAACTTTTTTTTTTAAGAAAAAGAAGAGAAAATAAATTCTGCAAAATCCAATCAATGCATAGGGGGAAAAATCTGACATTATGTGTAAAGTTCTACAGTAATGGACACCTTCCCCTCTCCCCAACTTATGCAGAGGAATAAAAGATGTTTTTTTTATTTGAAACTCAAAGGAAGCCAGGGAAGCCACTAGGTGGAGATGGAGAGGGGGACATTCCAGCATCCAACACCATTCTTTCAGCCTCTCAGATGTGTAAACTTGGCATTGTTTTCAACTTTTAATTCTCCTTTACCCCACATATTTAATTAGTTGCCAAATCTTGCCATTAATCTACAATATCTCTTGCATCTGAGCCCCTCTCTTCACACAATCATCACCTTAGTTTAGGCCTCACTCTAATACCCTCCTAATAGGTCTCCCTGCCTTTCTCCCTCCCCACTCCAACTCAATCTCCACCTGGATAACAAAGTGATTTTTTCCTTAAGCATAAATCTGACCATGTCATTCTCTTATTCAATAAACTTGAATAGTTCTCTGTTATCTGTAGGACTAAATATAAATGCCTTAATTTGGCTTTTAAAGCCTTTTCACAAGTAGAACCTATTTTTTGAACTTATTCTACATTATTATTTTTCCTGGACTCTACAGTATAGCCAAACTAGCTTTTACTTTTCCTCACATGTCATACTCCATGTCATACTCCATCTCCTATCTCCATGTCTTTGCTTTGGTCATCTCTCATTTCAGGCATATACTCTATAGAATCCCTCTTTTCTTTCAAGACCCACTTCAAGCATCATCTCCTACATAAAGTATTTCCTTTTCTCCCAAAAGTCAATTTCCTCTTTTTCGATCTTATAATTATCTACTTTGTATTGTGTTGGATTTATTCTGTAGCTATTATATTTGTTATTTATTTATATATGCATATCTCATCTGCCCTGTTAGAATGAAAACTCTTTTAAAGTAGAGATTGTTTCTTTTTCTTTTACTCTAATGCCTAGCATAGCACATGGCACATAGTAGGTATTTTATAAATGTTTGTTGATTTGGTGAGCTGAGCACACATCCCCCAAATAATTCCCTCTATAACCAACTCTAATTGGGGCTGAATGTATCTCTCTCTATAGTGCATTGTCTTTCAATCTGAAATGTGACTAAATGGATTGGTTTTTTAATCTCTTATTGTGTTTTGCGCATGTGAAGCCTCTAATACTTGGCTTTGTCATTTTATCAATGTGGATAGTAGATTCACTAACACAGATTTCACCCCCTGTATGACTTAATAGGCTGTCTTTAAGATTTCCTGGGACTAAAAAAATCATCATCCTGCAGTTAACCTGGTCATGAGACTCTCCAGCTTCACTGGAATTATCATCAGATGACAGGCATGAAGCTTCTCTCCAGGTCTATCTAGAAGCCTTGGAATATTGGTAGGACCTCTTAGATTTATGCTATTATGGCATAGTCTTTGATAATACAGGACCACCTTTGTAACACCTGAATCTTGAGTAGTACAATAGTGGAAAATGTCTCTGATTCTGAGTTTGAATACCTTTGCTTTAGGGTATTTTAAGTTTGCTTTATGTATCTGGAGGGTTAGGGCCTCATGAATTACACCAAGTGTTGGCAGTCTAAGCCATATGTGCCAGGATGGCATGCTGCCTATTGCACATGGGCCAGCTGACACTTGCCACCTTGCTGCCTAGGAGAGTAACCAGCTATTATCCTACCTCCTCCATAAGAGGTGGTCCAAGTTCAACATCAATGCTGCCCTAGATCCACAACCTCCCAAACCCCAGTCACAAACTTGGTATATCACTTCTAAAAGACTGCTGAGCACTGTAATTCCTTAAGTAAAACCATGCAAATGATTTGCAGTTTTAAAAACTCTTGAGCCCTGGAGCTCTTCTAAAAAAATTGGAGATGGTACTGTCCATTTAGTTTAGTTCTTTCCATTCTGAGTATGGGGACCTCAGAGATGGACTAAAAATCTCTGTTTCTGTGGTACTATTCCCCAAGGTCAGGCAGCCAAGTATACAATATCTTACAGTGTTTTCTCCCTCCCTCCCTCCCTCCCTCCCTCTCTCTCTCTCTCTCTCTCTCTCTGTCTGTCTCTCTCTCTCTGTCTGTCTCTCTCTCTTTCACTACTGAAAATAAATATGCCTCTCTGATCAACAGGTATGAAATCTCCCCAGCTAAACTTAATATGCCAGCTAGGCTCCTACTGCCATAATGGTTGCATGAAAACAAAAAACTTGGGCAGCAAAAGCAGGTACTCTACCATTCAAGAAAGATTTTTAAAATTGCATCTTCAGTGCCCTGAAGTCACATGTGACTTCTTTCAGGATCTCAGAAGTGAGGCATTTATTGTTACATGTTATATGTTAGAATAGTCTCCTTCCCTCCCCTTTCTTTCCCCCACCTCCCCAGTGAGAGTTTTCTATCAATGGCAGTCTGTCCCTTGGCCTGGCTTTAAATCTAACTCAAAGATCCCTGATTAAAAGGATGGTTCACAAATATCACACAATTAGAATATCTGCTTCTCTTTCAGCAATTGCACCTTGTGCTAATAACACCATCATAACATGGGTTAGCCACCTCAGAATGGAAGCTTTAAAAGAATGATTAATTTTCAATCTATCCCTGTTAGCTTTTATGGCAAGCTCTAAAGAAATATGGCTATGTGCCAGGGATCTAAAAATCCAAGTACAAAAGACAGCAACAAATCACAGTAGTCATAGCTCAACAGAAATAATCAGACTGGGCCAGTCAGGAAGGTTCCAATGTGGTGGTCAGTTTATGACAAGGCCATAAGAAAAATGTTCTAAACTCAATGGAAATAGAATTAAGGGTCATAGGGCAGAATAAGCATCCATTAAAATCTCCACACCACTCACCTTTTCAGAAGGATATTTACAAGTTGAAAAATTCATGATGTCCAGACAAATGGGGTACTTATCCTGAGTCAACAGACAACCCTTAGTATCTGAAAGCAAGTTTCCACCAGACAGCTCCAAAATGCCCCAGTCTATGCATCATAATGGAAGCATCACAATGGATTTTTCAGGAAATTCTGGCCATAAAGGAGGTCATAGGTCTTGGAAATTTGAGTAAATCCCTAGGAGGAAAAAAAGGAAAAATGAGACACAAAGTAAAGAAACTAAGAGTTTACCAAACTCCCTCTTTCTCTATCTTCCACAATTTGTCCATGTTCCTTTTCCTTCCCCTCAGGCTATCTTGGTAGGTCCACATCTAGTATAGCCCCAAGATTGGAAAAGTATGCAGGAGCTTCCTCTGTCACCTCAGTCAGCCTCCCTCCCCTCCCTCCACACCCTTCTCCTCCCTCAGCTTTTTAAAAGCGAGAGTTTCATTTTCTCTTGTCTTAGGGCTGGTAACCAAGCCTACAGCGTCTGTTACTAAGGGAAGGAGAAGCTGTTCCCCTCCTTCCTAGGGGACACTGGGGAACTTGACCTCAGCACATGTCCCAGGCCTCATCCGTTGTTATATAGACCCCCACCCAGGCAGAGAGAGTATTTGGTGTCAAATTTGAGGACAGTATCCAGAAATAGAGAACGAATGACAACCAAGTATATTATTATAATTATTATTCTTTTACAAAAGAAACAGACTTCGTAAGTTCTACATACCCACCACACACCAGTAGATGAGTATAGACATATACATACCCACTAATAGTATGGTGACCACATTTACTAAAAATCAGGTTATGATCTGACAAATGACTTTTTTTTTCTGACTTGGAATTTAAGTGAACAATCTTGCCAAAAATGAAACAAACCATACATAAATTATTCATTTCATAAACCACCTCTATTGTAGTGTGGTACCATGGGAAAAATTCTGATTCTGGAGTCAAAGGACCTAGGTTCAAATCCTGCTTTTGACACTACCTATTGGAATTAGAAAGTTAAGTGACTTGCCCAATGTTGCAAATAGGATTTTAGTTGTGGATTAAAGAAGTATAAACTTCAGTCACATACTTTAAATTGAGACTGCCTTAGAAAATCCAGAACTGGGGGCAGCTACGTGATGCAGTGGATAGAGCACTGGCCCTGAAGTCAAAAGGACCTGAGTTCAAATCTGCCCTCAGACCAAACACCTGACACTTAACTAGCTGTGTGACCCTGGGCAAGTCACTTAACCCCAAATGCCTAAAAGAAAAAGAAAAAAAAAAAAGAAAATCCAGAACTGCATGGTCATTTGGCCCATTTATAAACAGATTTGTTGTTGTTCAGCTATTTTTCAGTTGTGTCCTACTCTTTGTGACCCCATTTGGGGTTTTCTTGGCAAAGATACCAGAGTGGTTTGCCATTTACTTCTCCAGCTCATTTTACAGATGAAGAACTAAGGCATACAGGGTTAATTGACTTGCCCAGCGTCACATAGCTCTTAAGTGTCTGAGGTCAAATTTGAACTCAGGAAAAGGAGTATTCCTGGACTCCAGGCCAGGCACCCTATCCACTACACCATCTAGCTGCCCATATACAGGTTTACATGTACATTTACACCTACATGCATATATATATGTGTATGTATATATATATATGTGTGTGTGTGTGTGTGTGTGTGTGTGTATATATATGTGTGTGTATATATATGTATACACACACACATACACACACATACATAATTAGCCCAAAGCAACTGTTACCCAAATGTTACCAAGGCTTGTTGTAATTGGGTCACTGGTGGCTAACATGACAGAAAAGGAAAGTGACAAATGTTGGAGGGAACATGGAAAAATTGGGACACTAATGCACTGTTGGTAGAGTTGTGAATTAGCCCCACCATTTTAGAGAACAGTTTGGAACTACATCCAAAGGGCTATAAAATTGTGCATACCCTTTGACCCAGCAATATCACTACTAGATCTGTATTCCAGAGAAATCAAAGAAAAGGGAAAAGGACCTATTTGTAGCAAAAATATTTATAGCAGTTTTTTTTTTTTTGTGGTGGCAAAGAATTGGACATTGAGGGGATGTCCAATAATTGGGAATGGCTGAACAAGTTGTGGTATATGAATGTGATGGAGCACCATTGTGCTATAAGAAATGACAAGTAGGATGGCTTCAGAAAAACCTGGGAGAACTTAATATGAACTGATGTAAAGTAAAGTGAGCAGAACCAGAAGAATATTGTACATAGTAACAGCAATATCGTACGATGATCAACTGTGAAAGACAGCTACTCTGATCAAGATATTAATTTAAGACAATTTCAGAGGACTCTTGATGAAAAATGCTGTCCACCTCCAGAAAGGGAACTGATGAGCTCTGCATGTTGATTGAAACATGCTTATTTTTCTTGGTTTTGTGTGTGTGTTTTCTTCTGCAACATGACTGATATGGAAATATCTTTTGCATGTCTTCACATGTATAATCAACATCATATTGCTTGCCTTCTCAGAGGGGAAGAGAAGGGTGGGAGACAGTAAAAGAATTTGGAACTCAAAATTAAAAAAAAATAAATGTTATAAAAAATTTACATGTAATTGGAAAATATTTAGTGAAACAAATAAAAATATATTAAAAATAAATATAAATTAAAAAAATTAATTGGGTCACTGGTATAAGATTGGGCCTGGTGGTTTTGAGGCCACCAAGACAGTCCCCTCTTAAGGGAGGTTGTAGCTTAGAGAATCTATGCATGGAAACCATTATTATAAGATTAGGCCTGATCATCTTGAGATCATCACATATTCATGGAAAAATACTGACAACATTTTTCAAAGGTTAGTATAGCTGTGTCCCCCATTTTCTCTACCACCAGCTTGTTTTCCTCCCTGATAACAAACCCCCAAAATAACATTTTGCCCTGACCTCTAATATGCAAATTGGCCAGCTCCAGGAGGGCCATCCAAAATCAGAGTGTAAGGACCCCCTCTCAGAAGGGCACTTTGAAACACTCCCTTTCTGCTGACAAGACCCGTATCTCTGTGCTTCCCAGTACAACACTGCCCTTACATGAGTTATACTCTGTTAATGTGAATGCCTGAGTTACACGTTGGGTCCCCTTTTTCTCTCTTCTCTACTCCCTCTTTTTCATTGCAATAAACCTTTGCATTGAACTGACTCCAATTGTTTTGCATATTATTCTCAGCATCTGAACTCATTAAGGTGTTGTTGTCCCTGATGTCTCTGACTTGGCCCACAGGCCTTTCCTTAGACAAACTGGGTACCTGGATAAGAATTTAACCTATTGATAGCTGGACCTAAATTAAGGAAGTATGACACTGTGAACCCAGTTGCAGAAGGCAAGGGTCAATGTTGTTGTTCAGTTATGTCTGACTCTTCATGACTCTGTATGAACTTTTCTTGGCAAAGATCCCGGAGTGGTTTGCCACTTCCTTCTCTACTGGGTTTAGACAAATCAGTTAAGTCACACAAGCTCACACAGCTAGTGAGTGTCTGAGAACAGATTTGAATTCAAGCCTTCCTGACTCCAGGCCCAGTGCTCTATCCACTGAGCAACCTAGATGCCTCCATGAGCTTCAAGAGTTAACCGTGGAGCCCTACATCCTTCCAGGAGGGATTCCCTTATGCCAGAGGACTGTCTCAAAACAGTTACCTATCAAAGGGCATCATTCAAAATCTACTCTGCAGTTTCTTGTGTTTTCTTTTCTTTCTTCTAGTTCATATCGTTCTAGTAGAACATCATGTTCTAGTAGATGTTTAAAAACTGGTTTTCTTTGGAAAATACTTTTAAATTTAATCTGCATTATTAACTTTGCCCCCATCATTTTCTTAAGGTCAGATGATCAATGAAACAATAAATCAAGCCTTGATTTGTAGCATTTGCTTATTTCCCAAATATAAATGCTCCCAATGAAAATTTAACAATCAGCTCTAGAGAGCTAGTTGAAGCCAGCTCCAGAACACCCCTGACTACTTAACTAGCTTTGTGGCCTTGGGAAAGTCACTTAAATCTTCTGAGGCTAAATTCTCTTTTCTGTAATGAGGTTAGACTAAATCAGGGGTTCTTAGCCTAGAGTCTTAGCCTAGATAATTGTATTTTAATATTCACAATAATATGAATATTGTTAATATATTTTATATATAATTACATATTTATACATAAACACAGTGTATATTATTAATAATACATAATGTTTGTATTTGATATTAATTAATATAATAAGATATATTAATATTAATTAATATTATTAATATTTAACATTAATATTTTTGTTTCCTTTGTAACCTTATATATTTTATTTTATTCATTTAAATACATCATTCTGAGAAGGGGTCCATCCATAGGTTTTGCCAGATTGTCAAAGGGATACATAACAAAACAAAAAAAAAAGGATAGGAACTCCTGGACTAAATCATCTTTAAGACCCCTTTCAGCTTTAAATTCTATGAATTAAAAACAAAAACAAACCTCTAGGATCTTCATTTGTTTATACCCCCATACTTATACACAATTTCTATTGTGTGAAGTAATGCTTAGCTGACAAGTGGACCACTGGCTGGGAGTTGGAAGCCCCTTGGTTGTGATTATAATAACATTTGCTGTATAATGGGGGAGAAAGGTGATGGGATCTGACATATGTGCAGACTCCCATCAGCTGCTTACGTGGCATCATCCAAGAGTAAGAAGCTAGAAAGTTGCTTCCAGGATACCTGTGAAGATTGGAGCATCAATGGACATTCACTAACTGGTTCTAATTGGCTTGCCACATGGTTGGGAGAAGCCTTTTCCCATTGGCTATTTACCTGTTAACTGATGACATCTTTAAAATGGCCTGTGACTGTTGCCGCAGGGGCCAAAGGTGCCTTAGGGAGGCCAGGTGACTTCTTCGACAATGGCTTCCAGTGAGACAACCATGCTATAAAGGGAAGGGTCATGGAGCCTTCCCCTTGTAAGGCCAAATGGCTCCGGAGAAGCAGGCCTACTTCTTTGGTCTTTT